ACCAGATTGGTCTTTCTCCCCCGCAAAACCTGAGACCCCAAAAAACGCCTCCGACACCTCTCTCTCTCTCTCTCCCTCTCGGGCCTCCACAGTTTTTTTTCCCTGGTTGTTGGAGCAGAACGTATCTCTTGTCAGCATTATATGACATTCGCAGGATATCACGAGCTCTTATCATTGCTATTATTCAGTCCCACAATACACATCAGGATCGAGACCCAACCGTTTACAAATTCTTCTTAATACCTAGAACTGCTGTGAGGTATATACTCCCTTGTCCACGTTGCAATGACTCAAAGGATCCCTATTGTGGAGCGGGATTCTTTCCCCAGGTCGGCAAGGGCTCGGATGTTTAACCCCACGAGGGGTCGCGAACTGGAGCCGCTCGTGCCAACTCAATCCGATATCGTGGGGTCGGTGGCACTTCTGGCAGGTGGATAATCGTGTCGAGAAGGTGACATCAGAAATGCTCCAGTTCTTATTTAAGAAGTGCAGTTCACCAGTAGAGGAGAATAGAGCCCAACTGTGGATTGCAATCGAGGTTCATTGAAAGAGAATTGTCACAATGGCTTCCTCCACCCTCACCAAGCCCAGCAAGCCCAATGTGGGCGTCTTCACAAACCCTCGGCACGACCTATGGATCGCTGAAGCTGAGCCATCCTTGTCCGCTATCGAAAAGGGCGGCAACCTACAACATGGCGAGGTCACAGTTGGCATCAGAAGCACAGGAATATGCGGGTGAGCTTTTGGCAGACTGTGGCATTTAATATCTTAAAAGGGAGTCTAGCTGTCTAACAATCGATACAGATCCGATGTACACTTCTGGCACGCAGGGCGCATTGGGCCAATGATTGTAGAAGACACCCATATTCTAGGTCATGAGTCTGCAGGAGTGGTCCTGGCAAAGCATCCCTCTGTCGGTCACTTGGAGGTGGGAGATCGCGTTGCAATTGAGCCCAACATTATCTGCCACCAGTGTGAACCCTGCTTGACAGGGCGATACAATGGATGCGAAAATGTCCGATTCCTCTCTACACCACCAGTAAATGGGTTGTTACGCAGATATGTCAATCACCCGGCTATATGGTGTCACAAGATTGGAGACATGTCCTATGAACATGGTGCCCTGTTGGAACCGCTAAGTGTAGCACTGGCTTGCATGGACCGATCTGGCGTCAAGCTCGGCGATCCCGTGCTCATCTGCGGAGCAGGACCCATCGGGCTTGTGACATTGCTCTGTTGCCGCGCAGCCGGTGCAGAACCGATTGTCATCACCGATATTGATGAAGGTCGACTTGCCTTTGCCAAGGACCTCGTCCCATCAGTGCGAACACACCAGGTTCGGCCAGGAAGCTCCGCAGAAGACTCTGCAAAGGCGGTAGTTGCAGCAGCAGACCATATCGAGCCTGCAATAGCACTAGAATGCACAGGGGTGGAGAGCAGTGTTGCAACTGCAATTTACGCCACAAAATTTGGTGGCAAAGTCTTTGTCATTGGTGTCGGAAAGAATGAGATAAACATCCCCTTCATGAGGTTGAGTACTCGCGAAATCGACCTGCAATTTCAATACAGATACTCAAATATGTGGCCAAAGGCCATCCGGCTCGTCCAAGGAGGAGTAATCGATCTTGGAAAGTTGGTGACGCATCGGTTCGATTTGGAGGATGCCGTCAAGGCATTTCAGACAGCGGCGGATCCGAAGACGGGGGCAATCAAAGTCCAAATTCAGAGCGGTGGTGATTGAGCTATCTTATTATGATGATGAGTCTTTGATGCAAATGGTATTTCATGTCGAAAAATCGGCGTGAAACTGAAATCGTTTCCAGGGTTTCAAGGGGTATCAGCTCCGAAACTCTGATTCAGACCATCTAGAAACTTTTCGGCCTGATTCTTGCCTCGTTGCTCTCTTATTTTTCTTCTGCGCTCCTCAATTTCGGCTTTCCTCCGCTCTTTTCGCTCATCTTTTTCCCGCCGTCCTTTCTCCGTCTCCTGTCGCTCCTTCTCCAAAGACTCCATCTCCTTCTTGCGGCCTTGCTGGTCTTTAGAAAAGCCATAGAATCCAACTCCCTTGGTTCGCACTTCCTTGGATGCGTCGTAGTGTACCTCTTCTGGTGGCGTGGGGGATTTGTCTCGGTTCCTAGCAAGGTCTTCCATGCGGGTCGCAATAGGTTCATCTGGATTGAACGCAGCGGCCTGAATTGTATCCCCGTAAATCAGGTTTCCAGGCTCAGACGGCCGCGCAGAAAGTCTGTCAGGCTCATCTGCCGCGTCGTCCCTTCTCCGCCTCTGCTCTCGAGCAGCTTCTGCTTTTGTGCCGCGTTTCGTTCGTCCAAACTCATCTTCGAATTCAACTAATTCTTCGTCGCTGGCGGGCTCATCGTCGTCTTCGCCCGATGATGTATCGTAGTTTTGTCCCTCGCCACGCGCTGTGCTCTCTGCCCACTTTCTGTCAAAATCCACCAAACCTCTTTCATCCCGTGAGTCGTCACCCCCTGATGGGACGTAGTCACCGCGCTTCATCGCAGCGTAGAGCCTCGCTTTTTCTTCCATTTTCCGTTTCGATCGATGCAAGGTCGAACTATCCACACCCTCAACAGAACTCCGCTGGGAAAAGGTAGGGTTATCCTCATCTTCGAGGTCTTTCAAGGCTCGCTTTTTGGCATTCTTATTGTGTGCGTTGAAGATGGATGACTTGGATTGAGACGGCCGTGTACGTCCAGACGATTGCGGAGACTCTCCTTTTGCGGAATTGGCCAGAAGTGATGATAACTGTGACGTAAATGAGAGGGTCGTCGAGGATGATATCTCTTTGGCCGTGGAGGATTTTGGTCGAGGTATCCCATACAAGGAGGATGAGGACTTGGACATGGTGGTCGTCAAGTCAGGAAGACTTTAAAGTATGCAATATACGGCAAATGATAGAGCTTGCCAGTCCTCTCAGTCTTGATTATCTATGACAAAGTGGCACGCGTTGGGCGTAGATAAAACCTTCAGACCGACAGAAAGTAGGTGTTGTTGAGCGGAAGATGGAAAGATGGATTGTGTTGCGGAAATAGCCCGCCCGTATCGATAAAGCTATCGCGTCAAGTTGCCTTCACATTTAGAGAGATCTTGACATAAACTAATCCAATATATCACCTGGAATTTGGTATTGCTGGATTCATGCCTGTGCAGACTTAGATGAATTCTTTTTAATTTTCTTTTGATATGAGAGGACACTCCTTGTTGCTGCTTTCGATTGTTTTGTTGATACTAACGCAGGACCACCACGGAAAAGCAGCCACATGCGCGCGTCATGACTCTAATACGTCAGGTTTCGGCCAGCCCAATAGATCGTCTCGATAACCCAACTCCATTTTCTGCTCTCATGACACTGTGCACGAACTTGATTCTTTGCTCTTCATTTCATCTGTCGCAAATCTGTATATTGATATATAGCTTTGCTGCGCAAATAAGACTACCACCCGATAATACTCAACATGGTTCGAAGGGCTGATACAGATGCGCCATCAGCTCAGTTAAGAGCAGAGTTAGAAGCGGCCGTTACGAGAACAACAGAGAGCGCTCACCAGCCACTGCTCATGCATTTAAATGCAGATACGAGCTGGCTCCTTCAGATACCGTATCCGACTGGAGTCAAGCATCGAGAAGGACGACAATACTTTAATATACTCATTGACCCCTGGCTGGCTGGGCCGCAAAGCGATGTGGCAAGCTGGTTTAGCCAGCAATGGCATTCTACTGAGAGCAAATACAAGAGCATCAAAGAAGTGGAAGAGCTTGCATTGGAGATGGAGCAGCGAGCGTTCTTGATGAGCTCATCAACATCGTCGTCGTCAAGGCGCCAACGCCGATCGCCACCTTCGAATATATTGTGCAAAACTCGCATAGATGCCGTTGTTATATCCCATGAGTTTAGCGATCATTGTCACAAGGATACGTTACTTGAGGTGGACTCCTCAGTTCCCGTTTTCGCAACGGAAGTAAGTTTCCACCTTGACATGCATATACTGCTACGCTCGCATTAACACTTCTGGATATATATCAGAAAGCAGCTAGACTCGTCAAATCATACAATCACTTTGATACTGTTCGAGAGGTCCCAAATTTTTCTGGCGGAAAGTGGCATTGGCCTGCGGTCCTAGATCCACTTCCAAAATGGCTATCGATTTGGAAAGTCTACTCTCAGACAGACGCACTGTATTACCACACCGCCATCTTAATATCGTTCAAAGCGGACACTCTGAAAGACGGACACAGTAGACCCTCTCACGTCACTCGCGGGATAGTGTACACACCACACGGCGTTGAGCATGAGAATGTCTCCGTGATTGCGGATGCTCTCCCGCGTATTGAGACTCTAGCACTGCTGCATGGGCTACATGATGTGTCTATTGCAAACCGCGGTCAACTCAATCTCGGTGCTCATAATGGGCTCAAGGTACAAAGAGCTCTTTGTCCTAGATACTGGGTTGGCACGCACGATGAAGTAAAAACTGGAGCGGGTCTGGTAAGTTTCTTCCTCCGGCGAAAAGCCCTGACTGTGCAGGATGCTCTAAAGCAAGAACAAGAAGAAAAGGAGAGTAACCTCAAATCCAGCGATGGGGCCTCCTATTTGGAAGATTTTGAAGGCGTCCATTTTGAGCAACTGGGTAATGGAGACAGCATTGTGCTTGAAGCCGGTTAATCGGAGGCGGTAAATAGGATTTAAATGTTTGTTGGGACATAATGTGCCACAATTTTCTCCATTTTCTCCGTAGTACTTACCCTCTATAAGGAACATGAGCTACCTACCTTAGCAAGGCTTTAGATCTGCCTACCTTAGGTAGCTGCCTCATTCTACCATCAATCCATATTCCATGTCATTACCGCAGTAGTTTTATCAAGGCTTTGATTACTAGAAGTAGAAAATGTAGACAGTAGCTCTGCATTCTTATAAAGAATTTAGAGGGCTGCTTTTAGTTAGCGGGCACTAAAATCCGAACTACAATATATAGTAGAAGGACTCCCGAGTCACAACTTACCTAACCTACTAGGTAGTAAACAACCCCAAAAAGAATACACGTTCCAAATAGAATGAGAAATTGGTCTGCATTTGTTGCCCTAAATCATGACATCCGTGCATCAGCAGTTTGCAGGTGCATCTTTCCCAGCTCCTTTCCTCTTCCACCATTTACTAATCCTTCCACATCCGTGTCATTAGGCCACTCATGCTCAAAGCGCAACTCCCAATCATACATATGCTCCTCTACCAGGTCAGCCGCCACGTGTTTTCGCCGGCTGGCAACCGTGGCAATGCGCTGCATGCGCTGCACGTTGCGACTGAACTCGCCGTCTGTATCTGTCAAAATGCTCTCAATCGAGTTTGTGACCTCAGAAGCAGTGAAGCTGTGTTTATTGATGGCCAGAGCTACTCCCGCCTCGACAAGGCGCATGCTGTTGTGGATCTGATCACCGTAAATTGCCATCGAGAGCATCGACACGCCGTGGAAGATTGCTTCATTTGCAGATGATGGGCCAGCGTGAGTGAGGAAAAGGGTGACGGACTGATGGTTAAGGAGAGCACGTTGAGGCGCGTCTTCCAGGAAGAGCCACGAGGAGCTCACATTCTGTAAGTTTTCAAACAGTGATCTCCCATTGGCTGTTTGTGTGGGGGGCTTGCTCGAGGTGCGCCCGCGCTGTGGAGCGCAGAGCCCAGACAACCCCGTCGATATGACCTTGTCTCATAGCGTCCGCGAGACCTTCAAGAAGCTTTTCTACGATATTTAATGCCAGGATAACATGTGTGCCGAAGGCTACGTAGGCGACAGATTTCTTCAGCTGCAGAAAATTCTCGGATGCCTCGTCAAGTGGCGCCCATGTCTCCGACAAAACAGGCCCGGCTGCCAGCATCAAGGGAGGCAGCGGCTTTGGCGGCTCGAACCCGAAAAAGGAGTTGACGAAAACAAGATGATCTGGGTGGGGCTTGAGGGATGGCATCGTATTTACTCCATTCGCTCGCCGCAGCTTCTTCGTCCAAGTGTACAGATCGATGAGGTTGGGCGCATATCGTAAGAAATATGTCTGCTCGAACACTCGATCATACATACTTGCATGTTCACTTGTTAGGCACCTCGTCTGTGTCCCGGGAACACCAGGAATCCAACTCTGCGGCGCCAGAAGCCAGGGCATCTGCGGCCACAGCATCGCGAGCGGAATGCAGCATTCTGTCGCCACATCTCGAGCAGCATCCAATTGGTAGTCTGCGAAGATGAAGTTCGGCTTGGTAGTAAGAACGACATGTTTGAGCCCCCGGTACGTCTCTGGCCAGAAGCTGTCGTAAAACTTCTTGCACTGCAAGTAGTCTTTCCTTCCACGATAGCTTCGGTTGTCCCACTGGCTGAGCCGCATGTACAGCTGCTCGTCCTCAGGCGCGGTGATAGCACGTCCGACGATGTGCACCGCGCTGACGAAGGGGTATGGCTTGACGAGTCCTTCTCGGGCCGCAAGGGTTGCGAAATCAATTGTGTGCCCACGTTCTGCGAGGATACGGCAGATCTCGAGAATCGGTGCTAGGAAATGGTCAGTCGATTTGACAACGGTGTGAGGTGACGACACCGTGGATACCTGAATTTGTAGAGCCTCCTACTGTCACTACAACTAGGATCTTGCGAGGAGGGTGAACTTCAAATTCAGATGTCATTGTGAATGTTGCTTGTCTGTGAACTGGCGTAATTAGCGATAGAGCGGGTAAGGGCGAAAGCGTGATTGCCTTTTCCAGGTGGCGGATTTGATTATATATAATAAAATTAAATCAAGGACTCTATACGTAGACAGAGGGAGAGGCGGTCTACTTGAGCACGCTGAGAAGTTACAGATAACACATCCGGCAGGGTTTCCACAGCTCACTGCCCAACAAAGACCAAACCCTGTCTCGCTCCAGAGCAACGGTCAGCATTATGGCAAGGCGCATTACCATTCGGCCACGTTTCAAATTATCCTCGTCGCTCATAAGTAACACCCTGCCGTTCGTTTGGACCTGTCGCGAGGTCGGGCAGCTCGTTTGTCTTGAGCTCGCCCTCTCATTTAAGTCTACAGCAATATGAAAACGATGCAAGCAAACAATGAAGACCACGTTTTACCATCGGCCATTCAGGAAACTATCCCAAATGAAATCAATCCAATTGTGTCAGCGGAAGCTTGTGCCGATACAGTTGAAATGCAGCCTGTGGCTGCTGAAGGGGATAAGGATATAGCCATCGAAAACGTTGCTCAATCCAATGCGGAAAACGAGTATCTCCAGGGATGGAAGTTCTACGTACTCACGGCTGGGTATGGCCGCCCAAGAGCATGAGCAAGGTCCTACATCAGATACTGATCGAACAAGCCTTTGGATAGCGCTGTTCCTATCGACACTCGAGACAACTATTGTGAGCACGTCACTGGTTTCGATCACGAATGCTCTGAACGGCTTCTTCATCAGAGATTGGATTGTAACTGCATATCTCCTTACCTACACAGGTCAGTATAAATTCTTTTACAGACCTATGGATCTGTTATCCTGCAGTCGACTGACTTCTTAGGTTTCCTCACCATCTATGCAAAGTTCAGCGATATATTTGGTAGAAAAACCATGTTGATCTTAGCTCTTGTAATTTTTACACTATCCTCTGTCCTCTGTGGCATTTCGAATAATATCGTTGAATTGTACGCACTTTCCATCTCTTTGCATCTTTCTACAACACACTGAACTGAGCTTGCTTTGGGCAGGATTATTTTCCGTGCCTTCCAAGGCATTGGAGCTTCTGGCATCTACTCAATGACCATGGTCATTGCACCCGGTCTAGTTCCCATAGAAAAATACGCCAAGTATATGGGTATCGTCTCGACCGTCTTCATTGCTGCTAGTGTCCTTGGGCCAATCCTCGGAGGTGTCATCAATACCAGTTCATCATGGAGATGGGTATTCCTCCTGAAGTAAGTTCATTACCATCTTGTTCTGGCTCGGTGATACTGATGCAAGCAGTGTTCCTGGAGGCCTAATTTCTCTTGTAGCAATCAGTTGGTGCTTGCCGACTTCAGAAGCGACATCGAGACTTGCATTCGAAGACCGGCTCCAAAACAAATTCGCTCGGTCAGCTCTGATTCGGGTCGATTATTTTGGCATGTTTCTGCTGCTCGCATCATCTGTGTTGCTTGTGTTCGCTCTGGAGGAAGGTGGTACACGGTATCCATGGAATAGTGCCACTGTTGTCACAACTTTGGTCATCGCTGTCCTTGCTGGCATCTTATTTGCCTTGTGGGAAATCTATATTGATAATGACAAGACAGTTCAGGAACCGGTGTTTCCACCTAGTATCCTCAAAGACAGATTACTATCTATGATGTTACTGTAAGTCACCAGATGTAATAAAACCATGTCAATATTAATTTAGCTGTAGCACCGCCTTTTTTGTTGGATTTCCTTTTGTCTCAATCGTGGTCAACATCCCTCAAAGAGCACAGGCCGTCAGTGGTCTGTCGCCATTGCATGCCGGCCTGGCTCTGTTGCCACTCTTGCTTATCTCGCCCCTTGCAACAGCAGTTTCGGGCTTCCTAACAGGCAAAATGAAAGTCCCACCTTTCTACATCGTCGTCGGCAGCTCTCTTGTGCAGCTGCTTGGCGTAGGGTTTACCTGCTCACTTCCTACAGACACGACTGAGATACCGAAGTCGCAATATGGGTTTGAGGTCCTGATGGGTATAGGCTTTGGTTTAGGCTTAGCTACCTTATTGACGTTTGCTCGTGCAGTCGTTTCCGAGGCTAATTTAGGTATTATTGCTCTATTTGAATATTGCTATCAATATTGCAGCTGACCTCTAACAGCTGTCATGATGGGCGCCGTCACTCAAGTTCGCGTCCTTGGTGGGACGATCTCTCTTGCTGTTTGGTAAGATCTCTGCTTCTATCTTGGTGCCGGCCTTCTGACAGACAATCAGTGCTACTATTCTCAACAACTATCTGGCTTCTCACTTGGAGTCAATAATTAGCCCTGAGCAGGTCAAGGTAGTTACAAAATCTCTATCTACAATTCAGGATTTGACCCCTGACCAGCAATTTGCCGTGAGGCGGGCATTTGCAGCGGGATACAACAAGCAGAATATCTTCATGACTGTTCTGACAGCATTTGGTTTGATAACTTCTCTATTCTTGTGGGAGAGGCATCCTAGAAAAGTTCTATGATACATTGAATGAGAAAGAAGTCGACAAATTTATAAAATGACTTCTGTGGTCTACTCTCGATTAAAAACGTAAAGTAGCACACCATGATAGTCAAGTCACTCAGAATCAACATAGAGTAAGGCTCGAACAATCATGGGTTTGGACTCAGCACAGCAGATTACTTTCTGGAAGGGAGAAAAAAAGAGGTTCCAGCCTTTGCCACCGAATCCCCCCCAACACAAGCCGCGACCTCTAATCATTGCCCATGGGCCAAAGGTCGAAGCCTTACATAGCACTGCTGCGGCACTCTCAAAGCCTTCTGTCTGCCGTACGTGCTGTTCAAATTCTCCGGAACAGCCTCGAACTCGAAGTTAAGTACCAGAATGGCGAGCATGATGCGTACCTCTTGCATCGCCCGCTCGAGCCGCCGCTGCTTGACCACATCGGGGAAGGCTTGTTCAGGTCCCTGCAGCAGATGACGACAGCGCTTGACTCCATCGTCTGGCTCGGCTACGGCCGCGGCCCGGCGTCAAGAAACCAACCGGCGAGCTCGTTACTGGCTTCGCGCGCGTCATCCGCCAGGAGAATCCGACCATCAAGTTCGTTACCCTCGCCATCGACGAGGCCATCGATGCGGCCCGCATCTGCGGCAGCACTGTCCGGCTAATTGACGAGGTGCTGGCAAAGCGGAGCAAGGCCGTGACTGACAACAGCTTTCACGAGTCCAATGGAGTCATTTACGTTAGCCGCCTCGTCGAGGCATCCTACATGAACGACGCTATTGCACTCAAAACCTCTACGCCGACCCCTCACAATGGTGATTTCGGGGCGGACACGAAGAGAGCGCTCAAGCTGGTCATCGGCGGCCCCGGCCTACTAGACACCCTCCAGTTCATTGAAGATCCGGGCTACGATGCGCCGCTCGTCGATGGCGATGTCGAGTTCAAAGTGCATGCTGCCGGCCTCAACTTCCTCGACGTCATGATCGCGCTCGGGCAGATGATTGGCAACAACCTCGGCGTCAAGGGCGCAGGCGTCGTCACTCGGGTCGCGCCTGGGTGCACCAGATTTGAGGTTGGCGACCACGCGTGCGGCATCGCGGCAGGGACGCTCAACGCATTTGCTTGTGCGAAGGAGACGTCCCTCGCCAAGATCCCGGCGACTCTTAGCTTTGCTGGTGCAACAGGGTTCACGGTCGTGTTCGTCACAGCGTACGCTGCGCTTTACGACATCGCAGACATCCAGCCGGGCGAGTCGGTGCTCATCCACGCGGCGGCGGGCGGTGTTGGACAGGCGTGCATCCAGCTTGCTCAGGTCAGGGGCGCGGAGATATACGCAACCGTAGGTTCGGTTGAGAAGCGCGATCTGCTCATGAAGACATACGGCATCGTGAAAGACCATATCTTTAGCAGTCGTGATCTCACCTTCGCGCAGGGGATCAAGCGCAGGACGAAGGGCCGCGGCGTCGATGTAGCTGTCAACTCCCTGAGTGGCGATGCGTTGCGGGCGACGTGGGATTGCATTGCGCCATATGGGCGGTTTGTGGAGGTCGGTAAGATTGACATTTACTCCTCCGCGCGGCTGAACATGGAGAAATTCAAGAAAAATGTCAGCTTTGAGTTTGTAGATATCAGTTTCATCGCTTCGAATAACGGGCCAAGTTTCTCGGGTATTTTGGGAAGCTTGATGGAGCTGGTGAGAAATAGCCACATCGGGCCGTTGAACCCGACGCGGTCGTTCCCATTCTCGCAGATTCAGGCTTCGTTTCGGCATACTACGTATGCAGAGTGGTGTGCACTCCGGCAAGATTATACTCGAGCCGCATGAGCAAGACGTTGTCCCGGTAGGCTCCCCCGCTCCCCATCCATCCCCCATCGCCTTTGACGACGGTGATCTCAACGTGATTGCTCGCAGATTGTTCCCAGCCGGAAGAGTACATACGACTTCGATCCCGATGCCACTTTTGTTATCTCTGGCGGCCTAGGCGGTCTCGGCCGAAGCATTGCTAGGTGGATGGCGAGTCGAGGTGCCAAGTACCTCATTCTGCTCTCCAGATCCGGCAAGGCCAAGGTATTGGCCAATGAACTCATCCACGACCTCGAAGAGCAAGGCGTTCGCGTCGCCGCCCCATGCTGCGATGTCTCCGATATGAATTCACTCCAGAACGCCCTCAACGAATGCTTCTCGGCTGGCATGCCACCCGTCAAGGGCTGCGTGCAGAGCTCCATGGTCCTCAAGGACTCGGCTCCCTTGTGACTGTTGAGCTAAGGACATGGATGTTAAGGCAGCTTGATGCTGATGTGGCCTTTTTTGATCTGATGGAAATTTCAAGTGTGAAATCGCTGGCTGCTCTGATTGCAAGCAGGAGTGCCTTTGTCAAGAACGAAGAATCTTAGGAAGAAAGAAGCTTATTGTTGGAACGTTATGAGAAGCATTTCGAGGGCTTTTACTACCTTTATATATATATATTCTTTATAATAATCAAGGACATCATATTTTAAACTTTCTAAGTCAGTCAACTTAAATTTATTATATTTTCTTCCCTAAAAGAAAATACTACAATCTTTACTTCGGGTGTACGCTGGGAGCGGTGGGAAGAGGGCCAAGGCCGGACCGACAGACACCCTAATAGTACTTGTTCATGACATTGTATCTATCCACCTAAGTTACAAAATAGTTTCATTAACCAAGGCGCGGTGGATAGGCTTAGCTGCAGCCAAGGTCAGATCACTTTGTATGCGATATAAGTCGAAATCCGATCGTTGTGTCAAAAGTCTCAAGGAAAACTCTCACCACCTCTAGTCTGTGACATATGATTCGTTCCTTCCCGTTGTCCCGCCCGAGGACTGCGCCTCCCTCACTGCCACGGTGTTTTGGTCATATATGAAATTATTGGAATCGCCGGAAATGATCATATCGCATTGAACACCTTATATAGATTTTGTCACGACTATCCTGCCATCTTAATTCGACACGTCATTGCTCGAGACGCCACATATCTGGCCAAATCACACCTCCCCATATATCGCCAGTTCCACCCCAGCATAGCTACCTTTCACCATCACGGCTTAACAGGCACATAAACAACCTTTACATACATCGTTTTCACGAATCCCACGAATCCCATAAATATTCGAATCAAACCAACTATCTAGTCATGAGTACCAAGAAATCCAAGATGCAAGCAGTGTCTAAACACTCCTATACCAAGCAACCCTGTTCCTTTGTTTCTGCCTCTGCGTCACAGCAACAGCCACCGCCATACGAACACAACTGGAGAATCATCCCAGACAATGCACTCCTGCCGCCTCCGCCGAGCATCGGACATGACAAGAGTCCTACCAGCAACGCAACCAAATCTGCCGCCGAGCAGGGCCAGGACTGGTGCGAGACGAATCCGCTCTGGACGCCACGGACGGTGTTTTCTGCAGTGGACACGCTGCGTCGAAGGGAGGGACGGATCACGTTGACGAGACCGCGACATTATCAGGGGAGTTTGAACGAGATAATGCCTGCTTCTTCTTCGTTTTCTTCATCTTCCATTTCTTCATCTTCTTTTTCTCCTCCTTCTTATTCTGCTTCTGCTTCTTCTACTTCTTCTCCGGAAGTACACCAACCTCCATGCAGCTCTCCCGCGCCATTATCATCATGGAAACGTAACTTATTCGGCCATTTCTCGCACCGCCAATCTCATCACGATGACAACGACCAACAACCTCATCATTACCAACAAAGCTTGTCCTCATCATCAAAAAGTAACAACAACAATGGAATGCAGTCCTTTGCATCAGGCACATGGCGCGGCAAAACCACCGCCTCATGCGAAGACGCGACGCTTCTCAGTGATCTGCCTCTCTACGCATCGACGCTCGACTCGCCTCTTTTCACAGAGGGATCTAAGACGATTTACTACGAGGCGCGCTTTCTTGGTCCGTCCTCTCAATCCTCTCAACAAGAACAACAAGGAGACCCAGAATACGCACTAGCGCTCGGCTTCGTTGCCCAGCCGTACCCCTCCTTTCGTCTGCCCGGTTGGCACCGCGGGAGTCTCGCCATCCACGGCGACGACGGCCGGCGCTACGTCAACGACATGTGGGGCGGCAAGGACTTTACTCGACCCTTTGCCGCGGGCGACGTGCTAGGTATTGGCATGACGTTTGAATTGAGACTGCAAGACGGGCAGGATCCTAGTAGTCAAAATCCTAGTAGTATCGGGCAGGACATCAACGACCATGCCGCCGACGAAACAACGCAATCCTCTACCTCAGCCTCCGCCTCAGCCGCCCGCAGACGCAACTCGGCAGGCGTAGGCGTCAATGCCAAAGTCTTCTTCACGCGCAACGGCCGACTCGATGGCTCGTGGGACCTGCATGAGGAAATCGACTCGAAAAAGGACCTGTCCGGCACGGCGGGCCTCGATGGCGGGTTTGACATTTTTGCTGCGGTGGGTGTGTATGGCGGTGTCGAGTTTGAAGTTGATTTCAATCCCGCGACGTGGGTGTGGAAGGGAATGCGAGGGCCTAGTTAGATTGTCTTGTCTTGTCTTGTCTTGTCTTCCGTTAGAATGTAAGACTAGTTAATTAGACGTACGACAAGGCGTAAGACTAGACGTAAAGACTAGACGTAAGACAAAGTATAGACAAGGTGTAGACCAAACATTACGGACACGAATACTGTTACGAATTAAAGAGGATATTTGATATTTATTATATGCTGAAACTGAGTACTGATTACTGATTGCAAGGATTCATTCTCGTGTCTGATTCTCATCTGTATCTTGCGGGGAAAAGCGCAATCCGCTATACGTTGGAGTTTTCTTCTTCTAGCTCTTCCCGCTTGCGTCTGCGCTTGGAAAAAGGAAAAGCATGCGGCCATGATATGCATTACAATGTGAAAATGAAAAAAAGAAAAGAAAAGGGATTGTGTAGTAGAAGAAAAATAAGAAGAGAAGGAAAAGGAAGAAGAATAAGGCATTGATGCATACCGGATGCAACATACTCGCGGGAATCTCGCAAACAACGACAAAACAACGACAATAACACAAATGAAAAGAACAGAAAAGAAAAGAAAAGAAGAGGAAAGGAAAAGGAAGGAAAGAGAAGAAAGAGCAAATGCGCCAACACCCGCTAATCATCCGGCATAAGAAAAGATAAAAGAAAAGGGTTCTAAAAGGGAAAAGGGGACGCAAAACATCAAGGCATCGAGGTAAATAATAGACAGGGAGCGGACGCAAGCTCCTACGCTGCTTTGAATGATCAGGCTAATTATCAGAGTGCAGAAGGAGAAGAAGAGGGAGATGAAGCTGATGAGATTATGATGACGATGATGGTGGTGGTGGTGGTGGTGGTGGTGAGGGTGATGAAGAATAAGGAGAGCAAAAGGTATAAGATGATGAGGAAGGCTTGAGATGAATAGGTAAACGGTCATGAAAGCGATTACAATTGAAAATGGAAAAGAGACAAGAGAAGAGATAGAAATGAAATGACTATCTCCTAGGGAGGATACGGTTGCCAAAGCCACCACCAGCACGGGAAGCGAGGCTCTGACGAACAATCATTTCGGCGGCGGCAGCGGCAGCGAGTCTCTCCTTTTGACGGCTGCGGTCGCGCAGATATCTCTCTGCTTCCGGTCGCATGCGCAGAATACGTAGAATCATGTCATCGTTCGGGTCTGCTTGGGCCTCTTTCCGTCTTTCTTCTTTGGCTTTCTTCATTGTGCCCAGGTTGCGCGAGAGCATGATGCTCTTTGACCGGCGGGTCGATGTCATGCCCATAAGGCCTATTGCGCCTCCGAATGAGGGACCCGCCAGTGAGGCAGGTGCTGAGAGACGGTTGTTGCGCTGTGCCTGTTGGCGTGATGCCGTGGCCGAAGCCATCCGTTCGGATGTCCGGACAAGATTATCCGTGGACTCAAAGTAAAAGAAGTTGAGAGATTGAATGTCGTGGTATTTGGGAGATTTGAGAACGTCAATGGGAACTCCGTGGGCCTCGCCAGTTTCGTCTTCAACGGCATGGAAGAAGTCGAAAAGAAGCTTTGTTTGATATGAGTCAGCCTGGGGGAGGTGATGAAATGAATATGAAGTGACTCACCTTGAGCCAGTGAAAGACTATATCCAACTCTTGCTGCGTGAGCTGGCGTTGTTGGGATGGTTTGTCGGACAGAGGAGGAACAAGGAGAGATTCAATCGTAACCAAGACTTCTTTCCATAATCTTGTCATTACCGTAATCATTGCGCTGTCTGTAAGCGTTTGCTTCATAAGGGCAAAGTTGTCGTCAAAGTAAACAAACAAGGGCCGAAGTGCATTCATGATTTCAATTTTTGTCGGTCCTTGCTGTGGCATGGAGACTCTGTTCCGGTTAAAGATATTGGAGACGGAGGACATGGTAATGCCTCTGGAAAGGAGGCTTCGTAACGCGCGTTTCGAAAGGCAGTGATGGATATATGATGAGAGCTTTTCACGTCCAAAAGTCAGTCTCCTCGTAAAAGAAATTCATTGTAAACAACAACCAGGAGATACCCACCTTGTCAGTAATCTTTCGCGTCATGTCTCTCTCCGCACGCTTCAACGTTCGAAATGCTTTACCAAAGTAAAACTGAATGTCATCTCGCTCCCCTTCCATGCTGACCCTGAGAAGCAATCGACCTTGAGTGTCGAGATCAAGCCAGTACTCGCGGGGCAAAAAGTCTCCGAAATGAGATGGATCTAACTTGATGGAAGTTCTCCCAACACAGTCATGATCGCCAACAGCATCCCAATCCCACACAGTAGCAATAATGTTCAGAGGGCCTTGAGTGGTGATGTCGATGGATTCATCCCAGCGTGGATTGAGATTTCCATACACAATGCGAGTCTTTGCCAATCGCTTCTGATACTCGTCGCCGAGCACCACATACGGATCGCTTAGGCCATTCATATCGCAAGCCTTAAGGTCCTCTGCTTCCACTATTTTGATGGTAAAAACGAAGTTATTGATTCTTCGCTGGCGGACGGTGGACTGTGGGGTGTGTCTGTTAATTACATCTGCGCAAGCATCGATATTGATGTTTTTCTCGAGCTTGTCTAGCTGCAAAATTGCATATTCAATGTTATTCAATTTTACAAGTGACTGTAGCATCAACGGTTAGTGCTATTATCATTCGTGACTGCCAAAATGTCGCTTACCTGGGGGACGAATTGGAATGGCTCTATCTTTTCCTTGTTATTCCATGCATCCTTGGCCATCTGCATCCATCTCTCCTGTCTGGAGAGGCTTGCGGCTGCCTCTTGCTCCGGTGTCAAGATGTCCATTTCCTTGCTGAACTTTTGTTCAATAACGTCACAATAACGCGTTATTCCAACACCAATGGACCTCGAAAGAGCAGTCATGAACTTTGCGTATTGAAAGTCGTCATCCCATTCAAGCTGAACGATTTGATCAACGGCCTGATTAAACGAGCCGAAAATATCAATCACCGAAACGCTATGCCGCTCGTCATCCGAGGGTACCTGATCAGGACGCGACGTTCGGACTTGGAATAGATCTTGTTTCACAGCTTGCTCCACCCAGCCGACAATTTTCTCGTCTGTGGCCTGAATCCATCGCCAGACGAACTCTTCCAAAAGACCCTCGATATGGAAGGGGAAACGAACACTTCAAATTGTCAGAAGGTACAATCTGCCAGCGTATGGGATATGTTGACTTACTCAGGAATGGCATCCCGATGGATCCGGCGAATCTCTACCATCTCTTTGTAAAGTTCAAAGCCATCCTCGACACTGACTTCTTCGCCTGTGCTTCGTACTATGTCCAGTATCCGTGTAATCATGTCTCGTGCATCCTCGCCGTATGAAGGAAGTGTGGTTTCAATAAATATATTGAAAAGATTAACACTGATTCAATGGTTAGCAAATGTATCGTAACGTGATCAATCAATATACGTATACCCACCCCATGATTTCGGGATTCCGGCGATATCTCTTCTGTATCTTTTCAGCCAATTTTATCCAAGCACGCCCTAGCTGAATGACGTGAAAGAACTCCCATTGATCCTGAGATCCAGGCACTTCCTTCTCCAGCAACTGTCCATACACCACCGAGGCTTTTGCGCGAAGGCTGTCTTCAAGTTGGATCGAAAACTGGTCAAGATCTTCGGGGTTTTTGGAAAATAAAGGATCCTCGTAAATGTAGGTTTCCAAGACATACAATATCGGGCCAATATTGGGCGCCTTGGTATCAAACGCTTCCTGCAATAATTCGTATAAATCGCGCAGCAGCAGATCGTGAAGAATGGACAAAGACTGCCTGTAAAGAGCAAAGTCCGCAATAGTCCATTTATTCGGGTCTAACAAGGATGAGGAAACAGCTTTCGCAGACGGCTTGCTCTCGGCTGGCGGCTCTTTGATAAATCGAAACGCCTCGTCAACAATTTCAAGACTAACTTCCTGATCCTCGAACTTCTGACGAATGGCATCTAAGAAGAGCACCAGTCGAGAAAATTGAGGAATTCGCCACCGAAGGCAGGCCTCATTGAGCAACTCTGTTGATTCCTTGGAGAGTAGAATAATTGGTGTGCTATCCTCTGTACTACTCTCAGCCGCTTTCAACTCTTGATCGGTGAGGTCATGAGAAAGGGCCTGCATAAGTATGACGCGATAAAAGCCTCTGGGATCAGGAGGGATGAAGGTGAAAGGATGTTGGCCATCAGGCTCATCCATTTCGCCGTCACTGTCTCTTCTGCTGACATGACCCATGTCGACCGGCTGGTCGATGACATATGAGGAGACCTGATCTGAAATATCAGACATCTTCCTGGATAACTCAGAGTAGCCCGATTCGGAAGGAACGGGCGCTTGTGGTGAAGAATTATATTGTGGCAAACCAGCGGCTGGTGCACTCTTTACTAATTCGGGATTCGCCTGCAGAATGGCCAGATTCATTTGCATCAAGTCGGGGCCCTCTGAAGCTCTCCATTCTTCGTATGCTTCCTCCGTATCAAAATCATCGTCGCGGAGAGACTTTTTGGTATTCAACCCAAGAAAATGCTGGTAGGCGCTAATATCTTGAAGAGCTGCCTGCTCTGTCCACACAGGTTTATGTGTGTCTATATCGGCCTGAACGTCTGAAAGTGGTTTGCCAAATATCCGCGCCACGGTCTGAACCAGTGTCATGTCCTTGACATTGTAACTCAATGGCACGGTCTCAAACTGCACTTTACCGCCTTCGTTCGAAACGAGATCTTGATCATGGGCTAGTAATTTGCTTTCGAGAGTTGCGAGCCGGCTCGTAAGCTCTGGCCTATCTCTCACCCAGTCGTGGTCTTTGAGGGTTAGACTTATTAGCCGCACGAAGAGTGCAACATGTCTATCAACAAGGAGCTTCCAAGATTCGTCGCCCGGTGCCAGACCTTTTTGTAACTCTTTCGTGGCGCTAGAGAAGAATATAAGCACCAGATCTTCTACTCGCCGATCCTTTGCCATGCGCTTGTGGAAACTCTGCTCTGTAAATGCATTGAAAAACACAGCAAAGGTCCGTTTCAACACCGGGTCATTATATTCCTGCCTCTTCTCCTTGCCAATCAAGACGCCGGTCAATCTCTTCTCCAATTCCGACATGAATCCATTCGGAAAGCGAGTACTCTTCGAATCTCGGAGAAGAGTGAAATCTTTCATTAAATCATTTATAGAAGTTGAGGCACGCTGTGGCTGCTGCGGCGGCTTCTGCGCTCGGCGTGTTCGCGGCTTCAAAAGGTGCGCCAGATATGCAACTCGCAGAGCATAGCTATAAGCGTCGGAGGGCGCAATCCTCTTGGCAACGGGGCGAGAGGAGTCACGAGAGTGACGGCCATTTCGTTGAAGGCTGTTTACCCGTGGGTGCACGGGGCCGGAGCGATTGGACGACGTCGACATCGCCGAATGTTATTGTTGCTGTGCGATCAGTACATGCGCGGCCAATATGTCGTGGAAAGGCCTGATCAATAATGAAAAGGGAATTTTTCTGACCGTCAGGGCAACTGTAGCGGGGTCAAGACTCAGAGATGCCAGGACATGGACTAATAGAGAATCATCGACTGTTTCATAACTGAGGACTTGGTGGCTAATTCATCCCCGACAGGCAATCTAAGGTACCTATGAGCGTCGATGGCTGAGTCCTGAGACACGAAAGGTATCCCTGCATCAAACAAGTACAAAGTACCCGCAACGCTGCCCAAAAGTTGCTTAAATTATCCACTAGACGTCATTCGCTAACACTTCGTAGATTTAGTGAAATAGTCTGGGCAAAAAATAACAAACCACCCTTAAGGGTGACTTTTGGTAGGACCGAGGGACGGAACCTGCATCGCAAACCCCAAAAAAAGAACTTGAATGCCAGCAAAATTCAATTCTTTAAAAGGACTTGCTTCTCATCTTTAATTTTCAGGTAGCATAAATAGACCTCTCCTAGAACAAAAAGGAAAAGCAAAAAACTGCCGACAGCTGGAATCGAACCAGCGATCTTTCCATCACACTCATCTATAGAAGTACGAGTGGAACGCATTACCCCTGTGCTATGCCGGCACATGCTTACAAATGAATTGTCCTTAATCTGTTTATGAATGTCCTGTCGCTATGCGCAGATTGTTCCAGCATAGCTTGTGGTTATGTAGGGATTTCAACAAAGGAAATGCCAATAAATCACGTTTTAGTTACAGAGAAAATCGAATTTACACTACTCTCATTCAATGATTTCAATTCTATAAATGACTAAAGAGGAAATGTTCTAGATTCTTTCAAATAATATGTGTCAAACCAAATTACAGCCTTTCCAAACGCACCTCCGTGAGCACTTCATACTTTGTATCGCCAATAAGGTTTGAGGATTATGAAAGAGGATAGAATGATTGGTGGAGCGCAAGTTTGAATTCTCAATTTTATCATTTCAAGGATGGAATACCGAGAAAGTCACACCGGAAAGTATTGATATCTGCAACGCATTGTCTGCCACAAAACAAATCTCGAAAACTTGACCCTAGGCTGTGAATATCTAACGAGAGGAAGATGAGAAGCATAAACGGTAGCACCAGATTTTGGACCGAATTATCATATCTGAACCGATAACCAATTCCCAGAGATTTCCCGTGTAAAAAAAAAAATGCAAACGTCAAACGAGATCATACAGTTTCATTCGAAGCGAACAGCAGGCTTACGAGGGACTTGTTTGGATTCAAGAAAGACTTTTCTGCATTATTCCCTAGTAGTAATGTCATACCCACCGATCTAGGTTAAGGCTTCCAGTGGTAAAATGAGAAGACCCAGCCGGGACAGTGCCCATCTCAGAAGAACCTTGAAGAAACGGTCATATAAAATTGGTTCTGGGCGGGAAAGGTTCCAGGATCATGAGGGTTGATAAACTGGATTCCTGAATGCTGCAGTTCCAGCTATCCATTCCTTTTGGCAAGGATTCGACTTCATCAACCCTTTTGATGTCATCGGCGCGTGATTCGGTTCGGGTGAGTTTGGGTTGTTGAAATGCCGAGTGCACTCGGCTCGCTCTAGAGCTTCGTAACATTGCGTGTCGCTTGAGATTCGACCGAACCTGCCATTGCATAATAGAGCAGATATTCCCGGATCTGGCACCGCCACATTCGGATATCCGTAGTCTTCCAAGATTAAGACGAGGTCAACCTGATCCATCCGAAAACCATTCCAAGGCTCCCAAAATTAGCAACTTGCGCTAAGCTCCCACGGTAGAGTGTTGAACAGTATGCACCTGGCGAAAATTTGATATTGAAGGCCAGGTGGAAAACAAAAAGAAAAGGTACTTCAAACGGAAATGATTCGGTGTCCAAGAAATTCGAGAGTGCAAAGAAATACTCGATGGGTTGCATTGAGCTATCCAAAACGTCTAGACCACTCTTAATCCATGCTGCAACTTTAAAAACAAATCATGCCAGCGGTATCATGCAAAAGTTCCCCAAGAAACGACAGAATTAAAGGAGAAATCCAAAGGAATATTGCCGTTGGTCAACGATAACAGCTATGAAGGCGTCGCCATGAGCTCGAGAACCGCTTCCTTTGAGATTGAAGAAGCAACGTAAACATAGCCTGAACGCCGAGACCAATCGTAGTTTCGTGGTATATAACAGACAAACAAGAAATGCCACCAAGACCAGATATCGATTGTAGTGGAACCAAGGACATTCGGAACCAGCAGAAAGCGATTGTGAAAGATTCCGTGGCACCATTCCCACAGATGGATGCCAAGATGCAAATATGGAATGTCGAGGGGAAAGCGAACGCTTGGCCACTATGCTGTGAAAAAGAGAAAATAATGTCCGGTAAATGGTGTGCAATGCCAGCAGCAGAGAAAAAGGTGCAGACAAGAAAAGTAATTATGGACCAAATGTTTCGCTGCAACGCGTCACTTTCAAAGGAGCGCCGTGCAAATCAACGCCGATGCTTGATGCGAATAGAAGTAACCCCGTATGGCAATTTATTTGGCGCGGCCGCTTTTGTTTTTGGCGGCACCAGATGAGGTGATAAGTTCGCCAATGTATCTGTCGAGGCTGTCAGTCTATAATTCGATTGCAAAAAAAAAAAAAAAAAATGATAAGATTGAGCGAGGAAAGATTCGGTGCAAGCATCTAGGAATCGCAGAGAGGGTGTGAAGAGGACTGAATGAAGAAAATGGTGACCTACGATTGCAGAAATTCATTCCCCTTCTCAAGCTTGATATGTGACTGCTTCACGACTTCAACTTGCTCCACAATGGCTAAAAGTCCAGCTTGCAGTGCCTTTGCTTGTCTATCAAAAAAGAAAAAGTTGTTAGTTCGTCTCTGGCAGAAACCTAAATGGCATGGGCCGCTTCATGACATACTCTACCAGGGCCTGACGAGCCTCCTGTCCGAGCCTCTCGACATCCTCGCTATTTCTTCTAGGGCTCATCGTTCTTGCATCATTCTCGTCATATTCTTCTTCGGTCAATTCCACGTAAGGAGCATCTCGAGGAACAATGTCCCCTAGTCGACCGTGGTGATGGTGATGTTGATTCTGTCGCTGTTGTGACGACCCTGCTCCGTCGCTCACGGACGATGCCGACGAAGAGGGCGTAGAGCGCGCAGTTGCTGTTGGCACGGCAGTGGCAACCGGCCTTGCGTCGCTCGAAAGAGGCTCGTTGTCCGCCGAGCTTCCCTGTGGCGCTGTGGAAGACATGCCAACCGTGATCCGCGATCTGGCAAAAGAGACAGATGCAGGAGATTTGGAGGAGGAGGGGAGGAGTGCCTTGAGTAGTCGAAATGGAGGCGTGCTTTCGGTACGGGAGACCCTGAGCACGCTATGCCTCAAGCGATGCCTTTCTTTCGCGTGGGACCACCTTAGATGAGGCGCTTTTTTAACTGGCAGAGGACAAGGAACTAACTACTGTAGCCCTCTTTCGGCACCCTCCACTTAACTAACCTTTCCTGCCGCTATAACTTCGCCCTAAGTGATCATAAATCTCACTACCGACTTGTTCGTTGCACACCGATGACGGAGTTGCACCACTGGCACGTCACTACAGTGGACCGAAAAGGGTCTGCTCCTGTGCTATCCTGTGCTATCCTGCTATGCTCTTGTCGTTTACAGTTATCGCCTCACCAACATCACCCGACAAGCATGTCCGGCTCTAATTTCACAACCCTGTGGTACTGCATTGAGCGAAGGACATGACGTTTTTGCAAAAGGCTTGAATTATCTCGTCTTGTATGTAGGTGAAGAGTTGGCGAAAACGAGTGACTTAACGCTCCGTGTCAGATATGCTTCCTGCCTCACCTGTATGAACCAACCATATGGTGTTCGGACGGAGCTCCGAAGGCGAAGAAAAAAAAAAAGGAGGCACAAGAAGAAGAATCTTTCACGCCTACCTTCATGTTGCCGCTGGCTAGGGGAGGGGGAAGAAGACGATTTAGGGCGATGGAAGATGGGTACCATACAGGATGAAAATTGATGGTGTGTGCGGAAACAGGTGGGAAGCGGCGCTACGATTCGACGAGAAATGATTGCTCACAGAAGCGAAACGAGACGGAGGGTTACCTTAAGAGCGGCGAAGCTCCTAAACGGAAAGGATCTCCACCAAATGGCGATGGCAGGCAAGTTACCATACAATCTAGTGTCATATTGCTACGATGGCCCTTGTGCGTAGGGAGAAACACCCTAGGGCTTCAAAACTACAAGATCCTCCTTGCCAAACATGAAACAGAGAGTAAAGAAGGAATACTGCATGGTCCTTTGAATCACCGTCTGCTATGACACAATGAACAAATACCATAGTATATCCAAGGGCGCTCCACGAATCAGAGATGGGAAGATTCCCCGTGTCCCCCTGTGGGGAAGCTGCGGACAGACGCCTTTTGCACCGTAGAGGACAGCATCGTACCTGGCACGTTTTCCGATTGGTAAAGAGATCAATATTTGCAATGGACGGAAACTTATCTCATCAGGGTCCTTTGCTGGTTTGCTGGCTATCATGTCTGTTCAATTGGCGCAGATGACAACAAACCAGCGGAGCCGTTTGTCTATCGTCCTACGGAGTAATTGACCTGGCAGATCCTGCGTGCTTTTGCTGGTTTTTAACGATTAAAGAACACTAGCGATATTGGAGGCCGCCGAGCAGCATTCGAGGGGTTGCAAGAAGAGTGGAGAAAACGGAAGCATGACGAGAATGATTTCTTGGTACGGAGTACTTAGAGCATTCTGCTCACCCCTACTCCGTAAAAGTCCTTTTACATCCGCCGTCGACCCTTCCGTCCCATAAGGTATAGCACGCGGGTCTACTCCGAGAAAAGCAAAGAGATTCTTACTGAAGAGCAATCCCTTTTCGCTAGGACTGTGAGTGGGCCATCGGAGAGTCATTGACGAAGCTCCGGGTATCTCCAATGACGCAGGGTCGTCCCAAAGGGCAACCACGCTGGCGACGACCCTTGACGGTTGTAAACTGCAAGCGAAGCGTTTTGGTTATGCGTTCCGCAAGGTCTCCAGCCTCCTTGAACAAACGGCTACCGACAACAGCGACGAGTACACAGACGTGGCGCTGCATACCGAGCGCTGTACCCCTTCTATACTCAAAAGTCGCTTGATCAATGAATATTAAGGGATGTTCCTGTCTTGTCATCGTGGTGACCATTGCATTTCAACCCTCTGGATTCATTGTGTCTTATGCTCAACATGGCGATCTCAGTAGCTCAGGTGGGAATGCTGAGCCTTAGTCACCGTCACTATTGTTTGTCGATGAAGTGTACGTGTTTTTAAAATGAAAATCTCACAAAATCCGTGTCTTTTATACGGAGTGATTCTGAATACTCGACCATCGCTGCGCTCGTCTGCTGTGAACGCCAATGGCACCTACCCGAATGGGAAATTGTTCCAGAAAGTCGAATGAGCACGAAAGAAACATGCCACGGCGATGACAGACTGCTAGCTAGAGCATCATCGCATATCAACTGTTGGGTCAATGAGACGCTACAGTTTCAATTCTTCCTGAAAAGAAAGAAATGAATATCAACAGCTTTTGCACTTTTGAGTCTATAATCCACGTACCCTGAGAATAATGGTTGTCTTCCACCATTTCTAGACACAAAGCTTGACCCTGTAGCGTCCTCGAAGGGTGTCGGGGTGCGTTTCTGCATGTCCCGACAAAAGTAAATATTCAAATAATGTTCAGTATTGAACCCTGTCACTGTGATATTATTTGCTGTTCCGGTCGGTGTAGCACACGCGCAAAATGAGTGTTTTCGGGTAGATGGGTATACAGGGTGACAGGCTTTTCCTGGTGTGGCTGCGGGGATTCCAGCTCCGGAAGACAGGGAGTTGAGGTCATGCAACATAAGAGATCGACATAATTTTTCGGGATGGCTGAAAGGCTCGGGTTAAAAGACGATCAATGAACGCCACTTAGCCGCCACCCAAGTTAACCTTTTATTGTAACCCAATATCTGCGAATTGTGCCGGTCCTTGATATCAAATGCCTGCGTATAAGAGTAAATTTAATGATTTCAACGGCGAAGGACCCGTATCCGACCAGATCAATTATCAGCGACACCGGGGGTTGGGGACGAAAAGTGGTCGCTGGTCAATGCACTGTAATTTGATGGTGAGCGAAAGAGAGGGGGCCCATAACTCCTTTTCACAGCGTTGAGCAAAAGAGAAATAATCGTTAGAGTGGATCTTCGGCGGCTCCCAGGCTCGGAGACCCTGTGTTTAGACGAGATCATTGGAGCTTGGGCAAAAGGTGCAAGTGAAAAACCAACGAGCGACACTTACTACTCCGTACTAGATTTCCTCAGGGTCCTAACGCCGCTACCTGCAAGTCCAGTTAACACTTAGCCATCGGGGTTGAATCAACACATAATTTCGGTTTCTACCGAAGCTCCCACGCTTTGTTATATGACAGCCCATCAAAGCCATAATCATTGAGATTGTCTCTTCCTGCACATGCATGTGACGGGTCTCCTATGAATTCTGTCCAGAAACGGTGGATCCTAGTGTGAGGGGGCCCCGTATCGATAAGTTGGGGCGACAAGAGCCCATTGCAGCGAGCAGTATTTCGTGTCCATGCAGAAATATTCGGACACATCGCCCCCACTGTGCGAGCCGGACCCACCTCATTATTGTTGTAGGGGTCTCCTGTTTTTGACTGCAGAAGATGCGGACCTCGCTTGGATTCTTTGGAAACGGCCAATTATGGCCATAACTCCCAAATAATCAGCTGCAGATTCGAAATGCTCAGCTCCCCGAGAGGTAGCAGAGGAGGCACGCAAATTAATTGATCAACAGTCCCAGCTCCAGGAGATGTCGTCCTGTAGTTGGATCTTATCTCCGTGCTGATCAGGATGATCTATCCGTATTGCGATGGCATAGAAGAAGTGAAATTCATAATGCGCAACCGCTCGGCCTCGTACAATGCAGACCGATCGTCCGTATTACCGCAGCCGTGGAAATGTGTGAAATCGCAAATCCAAACGATTGACTGAACTAGGCGGAATCCTTCCCGCCTTGCCGATGACGTGAAGTAATTGGCACCTTGATGCACCCTTTAGGAGGGAGGCTCTTTACTCCTGCGGAGTACATCCAAGGAGTGCAGTTACGCGGTAAGCTGATCCTTGACTGTTTTCCAAGGAGTCCAGCGACGGCGCCGTCACCGAAGGGCTTGGCAAGTCGAAGTGCGGAGCTAAGCAGAACCCTTTCAAAGCGCTTCCCTCCGAGGTCCTGCCGTTGGCAGCCGCTGACAAGCAAGATAGCTCCAAGGCCAACCTTCCGTATCAGGGCTCGTTGGCTCCTTACCCCTAAAAGATGCATTTCGCCATAGCGTCCAACTTTCAAGATCTGCCATTCTTCAAATCTTCAAAGTACTTGTTCAAACCCCACTTGACCGCCGTTGTGCACCACAAGGATACTCACATCTTAGGATGCTTTTGAATTTTTTCATTTTTTTTTTCTTTAAATCTGTACCTCTGTACAGAGATATATCAAGCGCTTTCTGAAAAATATTCTCGAATAATAATGATATCGCCCGACTCATAAAATAATTATGTGTGCGTTGTATAAAATATTGATCGCCAGGTTATTTCGCCTTGAAACAAGTACTCATTAGCTTAGAGATCTGCCTTTGTGGCTTACGCACCTGGTGCCGTCTTTCCGATAGAACCGGCCGTGGAAGCAGCTCTATTGTGATAATCAGTCCTTAAGAGTATTGTTCGCTCTGAAGAATTAACCTGCTGGCTACAGGTCATTTCATTATTGGCAGTGCGATACAAAGTAGTATGGTACTACTAAATTATTGAAGCAGGGTAGAAGTATGTGCCCAGTCTTGGTGCCCAATGCCGGAAAAATAGTACGGCTGAATCACCGGTCAATAAAACGGGCCTTGCAGGGAAGGGAGTAAGCAAGATTGCCAGACAGAAAACAGGACTTCGATGACTTTCCTACTTGGGCGCATATGGAGAAAAGCTCGATCTTCTGCCACGTGTCGTAGATAGCCAAGAACATACTACTCTCCACAAGAGCCGTTCACGCCTTCGCAACTGGGTAATATCCGGACATCAGGAGTTCGTTTCTCTACGATTAGGCTTGTTATGCCCTTCCCCCCTCCCCGTCTAGGTGGGGAGAAGTAGTAAAGGAGAGTTGATATACACTCCGCAGGGCTGCCCATGTCCCATTAACGAGCATAAACCATAAGAGGAAACTCAGATTCCCCAATTAGAAGTCAGTTAAATGTCTCCCCTGTCCAGCATTGGTCAGGAAGGTATATACTTAGCCTCCCTTGATGTTTTGTGAACCGGAGGAGGTTATTTTTTTTTTCCCCTCCAACGGCGATTCTGGTGCTGCCCTGCCGAAAGCATGTAAGATGTCCGTATTGTGGGAAATTCCCTGATCGAATCTCATTGCAAAAGAATGCTCAACCCCATCAATAAGGTCAATTGGACCCGGGTAAGACCTGAGCAGGAATCCTCTGCCAACATCAACAGGCACTTTACCCACATCTCATCTTTCTTTCCCCATTTGCTTATTGATTAGGAGATATCATGGTGGATTCTCTGATGCGTGAGAGTTCATTCGCTTTGATGCTCATTAGGTCCGTTTCCTCTTGCAATCACGACGATAATCTACATTCGGCATAAACAGTTTGTGAACACGAGTATTTCTATTTCACGATCTTCGTTACGGTTTTTCTGAAAAGTGCAGACACTGAATGTCAACGTAATTGCATATCTCTAAATGAGTCTGTGAGGAACAGCAAATCCATCTTGGGGAAAGGGGAAATCATAGTTGAATTTGGGGGAAAGCCAGCGGTAAGAAAGGAAATGCATCGCGCCAGTAGACACCGGCCGCATCACAGCACCCGCCAACCCGACAACAAACAGGACAGAGGTACTTGTGGTCAGAAGCCAAGGCGCAAAAAACAAGCAGAAGTCGGCGTAGGTAACAAATTAAAAGGGCAGTATTTGGGTGCCATCAATTTGTCAAAGCCTCCAGCTGCAATCGACCGAATCCCAGGTAAAGAGACCAATGTCTAACCGTTTCTTACTCGCCGTGCCAAGACAGGCATAGTTTACTCCGTGCCCTCAGGCTTGGCCTCAGCCGCAGGCTGGGCTTCAGTGGTCTCCTTGCTCTCGGCGGCGGGGGCAGCAGACTCGGGCGCAGGCTCAGCCTCTGACGAGGTCCAGAGGGTCTTAAGATTACTTAGTATATAAAATTCTTGTCCATTTTTGACGAAAAGGGCTTACCAGGTTGTCCCGCAACAGTTGCATAATCAAGGTAGAGTCCTTGTAGCTCTCCTCGCTCAGAGTATCAAGCTCTTCAGATAACCATTAGCTCGTGATAAGCAAACACTTGCACGATGTTCTCTTACCAGCAATAGCGTCGTCGAAAGCCTGCTTGGCAAGATGGCAGGCTTGGTCAGGAGAGTTCAGAATCTCGTAGTAGAAGACGGAGAAGTTCAAGGCAAGACCAAGACGAATGGGGTGAGTGGGAGCGAGGTCAGTCTGGGCAACGTCGGTTGCGTTCTTGTAGGCCTCCAAAGACTTGTCGGCAGATAACTTGCGCTTCTCACCGAGAGCGAATTCGGCCAGGTAACGGTGGTAGTCGCCCTTCCTGGAAGTGAAAGTCAAAACAAAGAAAGACACGGACATCTGGGGACTCTGCTTACATCTTGTGGTAGAAGACCTTCGACTCGCCGCTCTGAGCAGAGGGGATCAAGTGCTTGTCCAAAACTTCCAAAATATCCTCGCAGATCTTGGCAAGCTCAGACTCGATCTTCTGACGGTACTCCTTGATCAGAGTGACCTGGGACTCGTTGCCCTTGGATTCCTCCTTCTGCTCGATCGAGGTAACAATTCTCCACGAAGCACGGCGCGCACCAATAACGTTCTTGTATGCGACGGAGAGCAGATTTCTCTCCTCGACAGAAAGCTCCTGATCGGCAGAGGCAACAACCTTCATGTTCTCCACCATTTCTTCAGACAGTCAGCCAGGGACAAACGGGACCGGAAAGTCATGTTGCTCTCACCCTCATAGCGCTCAGCCTGCTCGGCGAGCTTGGCAAGATAGACAGAGTCTTCGTACCCCATGGTGTTTGCGGTCTAGGTGTTTCTTGTGTTAGTTATATTTCTCCAAATTGCATAACATGAAAACCCCGCAACGTCCGAATCCACGATGAAATGACGTAGCCGAATCCACGAGAATCTCTGAATGGAGGAAGCCCTGACGCGTCTAATTCGCGATGAAGACAACAGAGATAAACTGGGGGGCAGATATGCCACCGCTTCGGGCGAAAGTGGCGACGACCCAGTCGGTCTAGACGGGAAAGTTGTTGACTGCCGCAAGCTGAAACAGGAGTGCCAAACCCTGAGTCGCAACCACAGTAAGGATTGCCTGAACCCGGCCAAATTCGACAACTGGAAGCCTCCACAAGAGATGAAGAAGCTATTCAACAGAGAATAGTTGATGCTTGACGGGCGACAGGTCGACAGATCCAAATTGCTTTCCCTGATGACAGGATACGCCTAAAGCGGAAAGACGATGACGAAACAGGTAGAGCTAGCTTACCTAGCAGGGAGATGATAATTCAAGAACAAGAAACCGAACTTACAGGTTGCGAAGATATGTAGTGACAGAAAACGGGAATGCGACAGAGATTGAGAAGTCAAAGTGATCGAGGTCGTCGAGTTGATGATGTATTGTTCGGCTTTGCGGGTCAAGTGGAGGATAGCAATTGATGGGGGGGAGGGAGACAGCCTGAAGTGCGTTCCTTCCTCCTCGCTCCCTTTCTCGCCTGCCCGCACTAACCCGTTTAAGCGAACTGAACGCCATTCGCAAGTACATGACACGCATTCTAGGCCACGGTGAGGATGTGCTACTGCAACTATTCGGACATGGCGACTTGGGCTAGATTCGAGCGCTCTAAGAAAGTATCAAATATCTCTGGGCTGGGGGAAGCCCTCTCATTTGGAAATCTTCTGAGTCGACGACGCCATGATTGATAATTCGAGTCTATCGTTGGATGGACCCAGCATAGTAACAGCATAACGTAGCTATTTACCATGTGACAAGATCACAAATATGGCAATGGTAAAGAGGGCAACATTCGAAAGAGATATGAACTGCATGATGAATTGAAACGCTTAATGTATCACTGGCAATTTCTCTAAATAAGCCGACACGCCAGACATTTCCCACAGATTTCAATCCAATTTTGAAGACGCTGGGGCCGAGAATCATGAGACATTGACGGTTGTGGCTAAAAGTTGGACCTGCATCCCCACTCTCCCCAGCATCTGAATGCACAGCTTTGGCCTTGGATAGACAATGTCAGCCAGTCAAAAGTAGTCCTGAAGAATCACTGCTCAATGAGCGAGGTCTTTACGCTATAATCTACGAGGGCTAATGCGCTTCTTCTGCAGATTCTGTGAGGTGTATGATCTCATGGTAAGTGTGGTTTCAATGGCATGAGGTTCAGTGTCTCGCTCAAGTTCGACGAGATTCTGGTGATCGAACGACCAATCACCTGAGACTATTTCCATTGGGATGTACGATATGTAATGCCTGAGTCAGCTTCCCGTCGTCAACGCAATTCGATTCGCTAGAAAGATGAGGAGCATTGATTGGACTTGAGCTTACCAGCCGAGCTCCCTACGGAGTACAGTACTGTGTAGCTCTAGTACCGCTTGCCAAACTTGCCGCCCGAGGTGAGAGAAGCAAGTTACATGCTCATCAGACCATCACTACAAACAATCAAGCCACCCCTCTCTCCCCCACACATCCCCACATTCTACCAGATACAATGTTCCGTCAGAGCATCGTGAAGTCAGTCCGCCCCGTTGGCTCCAGGGCTGGAATCAACTGCCGTCTGCCATTGACCTCCGTCCGCACCATGGCCGAGGGCGCTACCGGATCTGGTGCCTCCCGACCTGGTGGAGAGCATTCTGGGTAAGTCAACCTCGTTTTTCTTCTCATCGCCGATGGTCAATGCAGTCGAGGTAATGACAGATTTGTAATTGATACTGACACTGGATTTTCTCCATAGTGATGCTTTCTCCCGTCGCGAGAAGGCCAACGAGGACTATTACGTCAGACAGAAGGAGAAGGAGAAGTAAGCAAATTTATTTATTCCTACACTCGCACATGGTTCACGAATCAATCATCAATGCGGGCATTGTATCAATTGAAGGAAATAAGCTAATCTAATATCATCTACGCATTGCAGGCTCTTGGGTCTCAAGGAGAAGCTCGCGGCCCAGAGGAAGCACCTCGATGAGCTCGACAGACACATGTACGTAAATCCTGCCGTAGCCGGCGACACGGCCTTACGCTTTTCAATTCTCTCTTGATATACCTGACTAACACGGATAATCTAGTGATGAGTTGACCCGGGAGCAGGGCGGAGAGCACAATTAAGTTGTCAGGTTGGAGTGCAAGCAATCTCTGTAGTGGATATGTAACTAGCTCCTTGGAATTAATGTATCGAACAGCTCTTGAGCGAAATTGACTCACATTAGTCCTTATCATCTGTTAATACTATGATCGCTTTGCGAGAAATGGCATTCATTTCTTTGAAAAACTAAGGTGATGATTTTAATAACCCTCTGCAACCTATAATACACGTATGACGCCGCTTATAACAATTGTTAAAACAAATTCCTGACTGGATACTCAATGAAGAAAGACCATAAGCCACCTTCACTTAAATAAATCATCTCCGACCCATGTAAGAACGATAAAAGTCATCTGCTGCATCATGACGCGAGCCATTATAACCGTTCATACCAAGACCCTGTCCAGCCTTTTGAGCGGCAGCAACTTTGGCTTGAAGCTTTGCAGCGCCCTGGTCGATAAGCTGAAGTTGGGAAAGGTGGCCATTAAGGACTTTCACAATTTGGGAAAGCTAAAAACACGCGTGAGCCTTAGGTGAAGCGTAACAAAAGAAGAAGGGTATACATACCGGATCGCCAGCCTTGCTGGTCTTGCTAAGTGTGGAAGAAGCGTTGTTAACTTCGTCAATCATACTGGTGAGATCCTTGCCCATTTCGTCAAGGCGCTCAGAAAGTTTCTCGGCGAGTTTGTAGCTACCAGCTTGTCAGAACGTGCTAAGATTAAATCATGTTTGGGGCTCTTACGTTCTCTCTCTCTCTTGATCAGGGCCCTGCAGTCCCTCGCCCTGGCCGATCTGCCGAGACATCATATCATCAACTTCTCTCTCGTATCGATCGAGCCAGCCACTGAGTTCGTCCTGCTGGCTCTCCACGGCGGTCAATTGTCTCTCCACCTCAGAGCTGGCTCTTTGCGCCTCAAAAGTGCTAGCATAGAGGTTAGAAATTTTATCGCTGTTCTCTACAAGCATGCGATCCCAGTCAGCTACTTTCTGAGCTTGCTGCTGAAATTGCTTTTGATATTTAGACAGGTCCGAAGCCCATCGGGTAATAATGTCGTCCATAGATTTGTTCTTAAGCCGGGATTGCGCAGGCGGCGCGGGTCCTGCAGTTGAAGCGCCGAGCCCTCCAGCGGGTGCAGAGGCAGCAGTCGAAGTTGCCGTTGCTGAAGGTTGAGTTGAGGTGGCCGGGGCTTGTTTGTTAGCGCCGCCGAACAAACCTCCGCCGGGCGCGCCAGTGGTTGTTGGTTGTGGGGTGGTGGTTGAAGCTGGCTTGTTTCCAAACAACGATGAACTCGGCGCCGATTCCCCACTCGTAGGTTGTGTCTGACTTGGGCCACTCGTTGCCGTCGTACTGGGAGTTGCAGCGGCGGTCGTCGAAGATTGCCCAGGGGTCTTGTTGAGATTACCGAACAAGCCTCCGCTTTTGGCATCTGCAGAGGTAGAGGAAGGTGCTGTGGTCGGAGCAGGAGGCTTGCCGCCGAACAACGTAGAACCAGATCCAGCAGTTGTAGTTGCTGTAGGTGTCGATGACGACTGAGTCGACGCGGCGTTGGAAGATGGGAATGAGAAAGGGGATTTCGCGGGCTGGGTGCTAGCGCCGCCAAAAAGCCCCTGAGGTTTGGGCGCTTGCTCAGTCTCGTTACCCTTTGATGCAGAATCAGTAGCAGAGGCGGTTGTTCCAGTCGGTTTTGCACCAGCACCAGTGGTCGAAGCGGTATCGGTGGCGGGTTTGCCCAAGTTTCCGAAGAGATTTCCAGAGGGCTGAGCAGCCGGGGATTGGAACAAGTTCGAGGTTGTATTTGCAGTGCTGCTTCCAAACAGCGAGGGAGGCTGTGTCTCTGTCGGTTTAGCTGTAGTGTCGCTGGTTTGAGGCTTCTGCGCTCCACTGAACAAGCTCGAGCCGCCGAAAAGGCCCCCGGACGGAGCGCTTGCACCGGGCTTCTGTTCCGAAGAGGCTTGCGGCGCATTCGAAGCTCCGAATAGTCCACCGAGTTGTGGGGCTGGGTTTTGAGCATTCAAACCCGCGCCAGAACCTGTATTCTCAGTCGAAGCACCCGCGGGTGGTGGCCCGGCCGGTGTAGTAGAGAGACTTCCGAAGAGGGGCTTGTTTGGTGCAGGTGTCGTTGAACCAGCAGCAGATGATGGATTGTTGGATCCCGCAAAGAGAGGGGCGCTTGGTTTAGCTGCGGCGCCAAAGAGGGAACTCGTCTGCGTCTGCTCTGAAGTGGACGGCGTCGAAGGCTTGTTCGGTGTAGAGAATGCAGGAAATGGGCTTGCACTTTTGTTATCTCCACCGCCAGTCGCAGGTTTTTGTCCGAAGCTGAATCCAGTCGATGGAGTATTTCCTGCGCCTCCAAATAAATTGCTCGTTCCCGTTCCACTTCCGCCGCCGAAGATGTTGCTACCTTGGTTCGAGGTTGCCGGTTTAGGGCTAAAGAGAGAAGGTGGCTGAGATGTATTGGATGTGGCACCAAACGCGGGCGTCGAGCCAGAGGTCGAAACTCCAGTCGGATTTGAGCCAAAGAGCCCTGAAGGACCGGTAGCTGGCGTAGTAGACTGTCCGAAAAGCCCTGAGCCTCCGGCTCCTGAGGTGGGCGTGCCGCCAAACGAGAATTTGGGTGGATCAGACATGGTTTGACGATCAAAGAGGATGAGCAAAAGGCTTTGGGATATCAGACCCTATTCTCTAGGTAAGTTATCCGGCTTTTGAGCCGCCGTTGCGAGGGTCCAAGGAATTAAATGATGGGGAATCAGGAAGAGGAAAGGGCCAATCGAATCTTTGGTAGCGCGTACCTAGTTTTTGGGATACAGCAGAGGCACCTGAACCAGGATCCTTATCTGCTTACAACAATGACACACCGCAGGAACAAGCCCAGGCTGCCTGTGAAGATCAATCACTTTCGTGTTTGATGGCTATGGTAGACAAGAAAGACGTGTTTGGGTAGTTGGAGCCGCATGAAATGTTTAGCGCGGTAAACTCCCAGTGGCACTACGACCGTAACGAGGAACGACGAAGCTCAGGCTCAGCTTTTGCGGACAAGCGAGCCGGTCAGGTCGGTCTGGCTCCAGCGCACGGTTCGCCCAACATGGGTAGTTTCAGAAGTAGACCAGCACGTTACGAATACATCTCATTCCCATATATCTCGATGTATTCTTCATCAGGCGATCATCTGCGGAGGTTAATCAATTCCTTGGAACCCGAATGCTCTTAGGCTGCGCGTTTACTGCAGACGATGGGGGATTCGGAGCCGTCTCGTCTGGAGTCTGAGCACCGCGAAGCTCTTGACATAGGTACGCTCTTCGGCCGAGATCCGTTGAATGTTGCTGACTTAGGTTGGTTTACAGAATCATCTGACAATGAAGAAGATCACTTCTCAGACGCCTCAGAAGGTCAGAATATGAGTAGCTCGGACGCATCGCTACCAGCGCCATCGATAAAAGTCGAGAAGACCGACAACGTCCCGAGTCATGGCGAAGTACCAGGAACTGCAGCATATGAGGCCAGGAAGCAAGATGCAGCCCCCGATGAGGTTCAGGTCATACCAGAAGAGATCAAAGAAGACGCCTCTTCTAATGTTTCTGTCTCCGAAAAATCAACCATCTCTGGCCATGTTTCGGCGCCGTTAGCTCCCTCAGAGGACTCGGAAATTCAACCCATCAACGAAACATCGCATGATGTACCACCTAGTGGGATAGGAGAGGTGGAAGCGACAGAACACTCCGTGCATGAAAATGATGACAATCAGAGTCTCCCTCAAGACCCGACTTCTGAAGGCTTCACCACACCCCTGGCTCCAGCTGCTGAAACTATGGATCAGGACGCCGATTCGACGGTGGAACCTCAATCCGGAATATCTAGCTCAACGAACGAGTTTCAAGGTGCGACTGGAGACGGCTTTTCTGAGTCATCATTTGTTGCAACCCCAGGGGGTTTCCCTGCTTTTCCAGAGCCCACGGAAGGGGAAAGGCAAACGTCTCTACCGGAACACGTGGTCCCGCCTACGCAAGGTGAAAATGAGCTGGAAGAACTTGTGGATGATTTTGATGATTTTGAGGAAGGAGGCGATGATGACGATTTTGGGGACTTTGACAATGGTTTTCAACAGCCTACAGATACGGAACTAACAGAAAACACATTCCCGCCAAGCGCCCCCCAAACACCTCAACCTTCAAGCGATGCACCAGCTCTGGTAAGTTAATGCTGACAATTTCCCTTTTCAGTCTCAACGAATGAACGAAGAAGATTGACTAATGCACCTCATATCTCTAGGACGTGGTTGACTTCAGCAAGTTGAGCAGTCCAAACGACGTGTTAGGCAAGACAGAGGAACATCTCAATGCTCTCTTCCCAATTGAAATATCTGATCTGCCTTCCTTCGAAATTGCTCCAGATGATAATCCAATCTTTCTCACCGAAAGGAGTGCTTCTCTTTGGTCCCAACTTGCAGCACCGCCGCCACTTCAACCGCCAAACTGGGTACGGTCACGAATCCGACGGCTTTTTCTCGTCTCACTTGGAGTGCCTGTCGACCTTGACGAAATATTGCCTGCAAGCAAACAGAAGAAACTGGTGCTGCCTTCCATCAAATCCCCGCGGCCGTCATTTGATGGGCGACGCGAAAGCTCGTCGGGGAAGCAAGGCTCACAGACACTGGATTCGAGCTCTTCTGATTCAAGAAAGCGACGAGAGCCACAACCTCCGGAGCTTGACCTTCCATCGACAAAAATGCTTTGCACGACGACCGAAGCTGCATTATTGAACCTAAATGATGAAGAACTGAGGTCGCATGTGCAGAAACTTGAAGATTTGATTGGAAAGGCCGGCAAAGTGCTAGAGTATTGGCTCAAGAGAAAGGACAGCGCAATCGGAGATAAAGAGGTCTTTGAGGGCGTCATCGAGAACCTGGTAAAACATGCCAGGAATGTTCGAAAATGAGTATTGAAAGTTCTTAAGCGTGTATTTTCTGAGGATGCGGTGCAATTGCCCGCTTTTAACGGCTCTACCTTGCAGTATATGATTCGATGCAGGCTCCTAATTCGAGATGGGATTTGTACATGTGGAATATATGGACGAAGCGGCTTTTTCTTCTTGCTTCCCTTTTTTTCGAATAAATACCCAACGAATTTTAGACTACATAATGAGGAGGGGAACCTTGACTCCGACAGGACTAATCTTTTTAATGTTTGTGGACTTAAGGAGTGGCGCTCTTGAGGATTTTCATTACATACCTGCAGAATAGTATATTTTACGATACTACCCAGAAACGAAAATATGTGCAACATTTATGGCACTGTAATTATACAGATGCTTCTTGAGCTGGACCAGTATCTCTGAGGTTTTTTTTTTTTTTTTTTTTTTGTTTCTTTTTATTTTTCATTCACTATTTCATCCATCATGATTTATTCTAATCTTATTCTCTGGTCGTTATTGCTTGAATATAATTTGGGCAATTGTTTGAATACTTTGTAAATTTATGATGGAATGTACTGGATGTCAAGTTGCTTTAAGCTCTCACCAGCAGTCCTCATGGTTTAATCAATACATCTTCTGCTATTCGAACCACATCAAGGGAATATTAATTTTTGGCTGGGAAAGGAGTGAATTTTCGCTCACATGGTGATTGAATTCGGGTAGTACAGTGCAGGAACCAACTCTTTCCGCCCAAGGGCTGCATATTTATGCCGAACCAATCAGTGAAGTATTTACCACCGTGTGTCCCATCTCGAGTTCTATCTGCGATAAGAGTACGGAGTATACAGCTAATGAAAGCACCTCTGGTTAGATTTACTATGGATACTCTGCAGCTACGTTAACTGCCAGAAGTTTTGTCAACAATTGGTTACTGATTGATATTGTATAAAGCCGGTTTGGAAGCATCGGAAATTAGAAATGCTTTATGACGCGAGGTGTCAGCGTCTCGGATATCTGCCTCCTTTTTCCACCATGTACTACAGTGGTTGACAACCCTTTCCCGCTCAGCCGATGCAGAAGCTGAAACGGCCGAGGAACGAAGAGCGCTAAATTCTTGCAACGAGCGCACTGTGTCGCTGAAGGCCTTTGCCATGCATTATGGGGGGGTTCTCTGAAGCATCATACACTACGGAGCACTCTATTTGCTTTTTTTTCCCGCATGAAACGCGTCTCCACACTTCACTCAGAAGTGCTATTGAGACCATCCACACGCCCCTCGAGCTAGATGATCGACGGTCTCGTGACCCTTCACAGAGAAGGGGCTTTCTTACGGAGTACTCGTAAGCAGTGTAGGAATTGTCTCCGGAAATGAGGGCTGTCTACTAACTAACAATAAGGCAATGATCTAAAGGAGGACCCGTGGTAGAAGAAAGCATTCTTTTCCAATCGGCGCCAATTTTCAAGGGTCCCTTTCCGCTTCGACAAATGATCATAGGACTTGGGATCCGCATCATTGGACCGAGGGGACTGTCAATCACTAACGATGCAGGTGTGCTTTTAAGGTGCGGCAAAGCAGAATATTGATGGTTAGCGACACTTCTTAAGTGGAAACTGGCTATCGTGTCGCACTCTACGTCGGTACAGTACAGCAACTGCCCCCTTTTCCCTCGTACTTTTACGGTAAAGGGAACCCGTTTACAGTTCTGATGTGCTGATTTTCTACTTAGCTCGTGGTTAAGGGCACGGTACCGAAACTCTGCTATACCGCTTTCCCAAAGAGAGCTAATTGTTTGCTATCCCCTTACTAACTTCGGAGGTACTCGGTGCTGGACTGGTTTAACTAAACCCTCTTCCGTAAGTGCTGCTACAGCTAAACGTGATTGTGGTCCCGGTGTCAAAAAAAGCTCGGACTCGGGGCCCTTTGGCATCTGGTTATGCAGTCGGTGCTTGCTCGAAAGAGAATTACAGCAATAGACGGCTAACTGTCTACACCAATGAATACGAGCGAAAAGCAAGCCGGCTCCATGCGAGAGGCCCTCCCTATTCGACTTTTAGGGTAAACGCTTCGCTGGTCATCGCTGGTCATCGCTGGCCGCATCGTACTATTGAAGATAGTTTAGGCGCGGCCATCCAGTCCGTTCGATGAGCATAAAGGGAAAACCCGACGCGCGAAAAAAAAAGTACCGAGACCCTTCAAGCGTCATGTTGAAGCGTGATTGCCGTTGAGGGGGATCGTTGGTGTGCGGCACCTGCAAAAAAAAACTAAGGGTTCCCCTTGGATGAAGAGATCGATCACGATCGATCAGTTCCTCAGCTCTCTTACTACTCATTGGAGCAAGCTTTACGGGTTGCGATACTGCACAGCTAGGAAAGCATCATATGCACATCGAGGCACGCACACAAGCACGATACTATATCCCCCCTCTTTCATTGCCCATCCTGTGAGAGCCCACAAAGCCAACTGCGCTTTGAAGAAGCTCGCCCCGCTTGTGTGCATCAAATTAAAGATATTCCGCGAGGAACAGATCCATTTGTCTTTCGATTCCACTTGCAGGGAGTAAAGTACTGTACCCTAATTTTCTTCGTCCACTGCTTAGCAACTGGTTTTACCTTTTCCTTCCCGCACGCCTGGCCGCTGCCGACCTATCACGTCCGACCAGACACACGTTACGGTACGGGCGCTACGTCCCCATCTCATCCTTTGTGTGTCTGCTGCCAAGCTGCCTTGCTGTGCGCAGTACAGCTACCTTTGTACGTAGTACTCCATTCATCCGCACTCTCCCTACTATTAACTTAGCACCCCCAGCACTCCCTTTTTGCTTGTGCAAGAGGCCCTGGACCCCTCTTCTAGACCAGGTGTGACACTGCAACCCACCCACACACACACGCCCAGACACTCTCCCACACACTCTCTCTCTTTCACTCATCTCAAACCCCCCCCCCTACCACGTTCCCAGACTGTACCACCCACAATCTTGTACATTTCTTTTCCCCCCTCTATTCTCGGCCGCCCGAGAGAAAGCCCCCCCCCCTGTTGGCACATTTTACAGCTTCTGACTCGTCTAGATCTCGGTAACGCGGCCTCGGAAAAAGGGCTCTAAGGAGACAAGGACCAGCTCGACTTCTCAAAAAGGGCGGCTTGGGGCCGTTACCTCGCTAGAGCACGACAATTAACTTACCTTCTGCGGTCCCGAACCCTTATCACCAACCCCGTGGCAGGTTCTGCCTCAAATGGATGTCGTCTAAGCTTGTCCAATATTACTGTTGAGACATACTCCTTCTATTCACTTTCGCTTGTCGCGAACCATCGATTCCATCTCTGTCCTCCCACCCTCGACCACCACCACCACCACCACCAGGGATCGTCACTGTCGCCGAACCTGCGTCTGGCAGGAAGCCCTGACTTGACCCTGTTTCCCCTCTTTAGCCATTGCAACCCCGTATTTCCGCCCCCGAACACAAGAAACCAAAGGAGTGACAGTGGTTCACTGGCTGGTCCGGCTTCACTCTCTCGAGTTCCCCCATCTTGGTCAATGTGAGATCGGGCCAGCGGTGTTCGGAAGCCGTCCTCATGGCACAAGAGGAGACTCTGTCTGCGGCTGCGGCCATTGTGCGAAACCTCGCCCGCGGCCCAGCTGTACCGCTTGCGTTCCCTGGTCCACAGTCACCACCAAAGGCTGGAGGCTTGGACTTGCACGCGTTTGTCTTGCCTGGCGAAGAGAGCCAGGAAAAGAGAGCCTTGGAATACGAGCTCTACTCGTTAGGATTACGCATTCAACATCTCGAAGCACGAGCCGGATCCACCCTCAGTCAAAACCTCCCCGATACCCCGAGCGACACGGGCCCGGTATCGTCCCCGTTTGATAGCGGCCTCTCGCCGGGTGCACAACGTCTTGGTGGCGGAAACTTTGTACGACAACGGCCGGCCAATGTCCGAGATCGAGGTACCAACTGGGTCTCGAACCTTTTGAGCGCTCGTCCGACGACACCTGCCGAACGAGATGCACACATCACCCAGCTCAGTGACGAACAACTCGCGTTGCTGAGAGATCATGTCAATCAACAAGCCGAAGAAATCAAGAGCCAGAGGGCCGTCATTGCCGCCATCAGCGAGCAATTGAATGAGCAACAAAGACAAACCGAGAGAGCCCTGGGTAAAGTGGAACAGGAAAATGTCCAGGCTTTGGAGCGCGAGCTCCGAAAACATCAGCAAGCCAACGAGGCTTTCCAAAAGGCCTTGAAGGAAATTGGAGGTATCGTCACCGCCGTTGCTCGAGGTGACTTGAGCAAAAAGGTCTTGATTCATGCCAAGGAAATGGATCCCGAAATTACTACGTTCAAGCGCACCATCAACACCATGATGGACCAGCTCCAGATATTCGCAAGTGAGGTGTCCCGAGTGGCTAGAGAAGTCGGCACCGAAGGCCGGCTCGGTGGCCAAGCGCAAATCGCTGGCGTGGATGGTATTTGGAAAGAATTGACCACGAACGGTAAGGATAAGCAAACCCACGTCCAAGCTTTTTTCTTTTGTGTTGTTGTTTCAAGAGCTGATACGAGTTGGATGCAGTCAACGTCATGGCCAACAATCTTACCGATCAAGTACGAGAGATTGCCCAAGTTACCACTGCCGTGGCACATGGTGATTTGAGCCACAAGATTCTCATTCCAGCCCAAGGCGAGATACTCGAACTGCAACAGACGATCAACACCATGGTGGACCAATTACGCACGTTTGCCATGGAAGTCACACGTGTCGCCCGCGATGTCGGTACCGAAGGCGTTCTGGGAGGCCAGGCACAAATCGAGGGCGTGCAGGGCATGTGGAACGATCTGACGGTTAATGTCAATGCCATGGCCAATAATCTGACCATGCAAGTGCGCGATATTGCCACGGTCACCACCGCTGTAGCAAAGGGCGATTTGACTCAAAAGGTCAAGGCCGAATGCAAGGGCGAAATTCTTGAACTCAAATCCACCATCAACTCCATGGTGGATCAGCTGCAGCAGTTCGCCCATGAGGTTTCCAAGATAGCCAAGGATGTCGGCACAGATGGAAGGCTCGGCGGCCAAGCTACGGTGCATGATGTGGAAGGTGTCTGGAGGGATCTCACGGAAAACGTCAATGGCATGGCAATGAATTTGACAACCCAAGTCCGAGAGATTGCACAAGTCACCACTGCTGTCGCCAAGGGTGATTTGACCAAGAAGATCCAAGCAGAAGTCAAGGGTGAAATTCTTGACTTGAAGATTACGATCAACAACATGGTTGACAGATTAGGAACTTTTGCCGTTGAAGTGAGCAAGGTCGCTCGAGAAGTCGGAACCGAAGGCACCTTGGGCGGGCAGGCTAAAGTGGAAAACGTCGAAGGGAAATGGAAGGATCTCACCGACAATGTCAATACCATGGCTCGAAATCTGACAGCCCAGGTGCGGAGCATCTCCCATGTTACCCAGGCCATTGCCTCGGGTGATATGAGCAAGAAGATTAGCGTCCATGCACAGGGAGAAATGGGTCTCCTCAAGGAAACGATCAATAACATGGTCGATCGCTTAGCAATATTCGCCAGCGAAGTGAAGCGTGTCGCGAGGGATGTCGGTGTCGACGGCAAGATGGGCGGACAAGCCAATGTTACAGGCGTCAGCGGAAGATGGAAAGAGATTACCAACGACGTCAATACCATGGCCCAAAATCTGACGTCTCAAGTGCGCGCTTTTGGAGACATCACCGTCGCTGCTTCGGACGGTGATTTCACCAAGATCATTACCGTCGAAGCCTCTGGCGAAATGGACGAGCTCAAGCGCAAGATCAATAAAATGGTCTTCAATCTGCGGGACAGCATTCAACGAAACACTCAGGCCAGGGAAGCTGCCGAGTTGGCTAACCGGACCAAATCCGAGTTCCTTGCCAACATGAGTCACGAGATCAGAACGCCAATGAACGGTATCATAGGAATGACCCAGTTAACGTTGGACACCGATCTCACCCAGTATCAGCGAGAGATGCTCAATATTGTGCACAATCTTGCAAATAGTCTTCTGACCATCATTGATGATATCTTGGATATCTCAAAGATTGAAGCAAATCGCATGGTCATGGAGGCTATTCCGTTCTCGCTCAGGGTTACTGTCTTTAACGCCTTGAAGACACTGGCGGTCAAGGCAAATGAAAAGTTCCTCGACCTGGCGTATGCAGTCGACTGCACGGTGCCTGATCACGTTGTTGGAGATTCCTTCCGACTTCGCCAGATCATTCTTAACCTGGTTGGAAATGCCATCAAATTCACCGAACACGGTGAGGTAAAGCTGTCGATCCTCAAAGCCGCACAGGACAATTGTGGTCCTGGTGAGTGCGCGTTCGAATTCCGCGTCTCCGACACAGGCATTGGTATCCAAGGCGACAAGCTAGACTTGATTTTCGATACGTTCCAGCAGGCTGATGGGTCGACCACCAGAAAATTTGGCGGCACCGGTCTGGGGCTCTCCATCTCGAAGCGCTTGGTCAGTCTGATGGGAGGAGACCTCTGGGTCACGTCACGGTATGGCCATGGAAGTACGTTTTACTTCACGTGCAGATGCCAACTGGCCACGACAGAGCTCAGTGCCATTTCAGCTCAGCTTCGTCCCTACAAGGAACACACTGTGCTTTTCATTGACAAGGGAGAGACTGGTTGTGGGCCTACTATTGTTCTTCAGCTTCGCGAGCTTGGCCTCCTGCCAACGGTTGTCAGCAGCGAGGATCAAAAACCTCCTACTGAAAGTCTAAGTGCTCTGAGGAGATCCAAGAAGCACGCCTTTGACGTTATCATTGTCGATTCCGTCGACACAGCACGGAAATTACGAACGGTCGATATATTCAAGTATATCCCCATTGTTCTTCTGGCGCCAAAGATCTCAATCAGTCTAAAATCCGCGCTCGACCTCGGAATCACAAGCCACATGACTACTCCTTGTCTTGCCATAGAGCTAGGAAACGGTATGCTCCCTGCTCTTGAGGGCAGGGCAGCGCCTTCCATTGCGGATGCCTCACGTATATTCGACGTTTTGCTTGCTGAAGACAATGTGGTCAACCAGCGACTTGCCGTCAAGATTCTGCAAAAGTATCACCACGTGGTCACAGTGGTAGGAAATGGCTTGGACGCTTTCGAGGCTGTCAAGAAGAAGCGCTACGATGTCATCCTCATGGACGTGCAGATGCCCATCATGGTAAGTTGAAAGCAAAGCGTCACCTCACATTTTCTTGTTACTTCTGCTAACGACGAATCACTAGGGAGGATTTGAGGCCACTGCGAAGATTAGGGAATGGGAAAAGGAAGAAGGCCTCCCACGTTCGCCCATTATTGCCTTGACCGCGCATGCCATGCTTGGAGACCGAGAGAAGTGTATTCAAGCTCAAATGGATGTACGTATCCTGAACAAAAAAACCCAACTTGGACATACGCGATGGCTAACTTTGATTTAGGAATATCTGTCCAAGCCGCTGAAACAGAACCAGCTCATTCAAACTATCCTCAAATGTGCCTCTTTAGGAGGAGGTTTGGCGGTCAATGAAAGGGGACGGGCTGAAGGCGAAATTGCCGAAGCGGCGGAGACAGATGCTCCCGGCAAGCCGGCGAGACCTGCGCTTGAGAACAGGGCCTTTACCACCACGGGCCCAATTACCCACGGCAGCGCAGCAAGTCCAGGCCCGCAGGCGGCCGAGCAGGGCGACCCCCTTGAACGAGTATGTACTTCTGAAATGCTACAGTCACTCTCAATATAAGATGCTAACACACGAGATAAGTTATTACTGAGGTCACACAGCAGCTAAGCCTCTAAGCGATAGGGGAATTGCCGTTCCGTCTTTGCCTTTTATTGCGGCTGAAAATCTCAGCTGAAGAAACCTTGTTTATTAGAACTGGTTTTCTTTTTTGGTAAAACTTCCTTTGCATTCGAGGCGATGGCGTGATTACATGGGTTTTGGGCCTCTTCCTCATCCTCCTTTGTCGTCTTATTTAGCAGTGCACTTTTCTTCCAAGTGATGTTTCTTTTTTCGTCCACTCCGTCTGTTTTGTTCACTGTTTCTCTCACCATGGCATATGTAACGCACGTCTACGCATCGCCCTTATGGTTGATGGCGGCCGTTTTGGGTCTTTGGCATCCCCCATTTTTGGAATTGTCCTTTTTTGGTTGATTTTTCCTTTTTCCGTTTTCCAGGCGTCTTGCGGTTGCAAACCGTTTATTATTTTTTTTTTTTTATTTTCTTTCTCTCGCTTTTCAAGTTTATTCACCTTGTGGGCTAAAAAGGCGTTTTTTTTGTTGTTGTGTAGTCACTTTTCCCCTCGGGTAGCCTTTGTCAAATCAGAGCAAAGCCTCTTTAGGCTGTTTTTTCATCATCATCATCCATTAAAGAATAAGAGTTTTTTTTTCTCTCTCCATTGATGCTGCTGGTCTCTGCTATTTTGATATCTATTCATTACTGATTGACTGCTGATCTGCTACTCGGTTCCTACTCATTGGCTGCTGGTGTCTCTGCTTACTTGGATCCGTATTCAAGGTGGTGGTAGTGGTGGTGGTCGTCGTCGTAGGGCTTTATCTCTTAACAACTATATATTTTTATATTTCCCCCCTCTCCGCACCTTTTATACGGGGCTTCAGCCTTCCAGAGATAGTTCCTTATCTTACCTAGGTACCTTATAAACTACCTTACAAAGTACCTTACAAAGTAGATTGACTTGATTCCAATACCAGTTATATTGTTCTTTGATACTCTTTTTGTATATCTCAAGATTTTATTTCTATTGACTCGTTGACTTTATTTGTAAGTATCCTTGGCCCCGTTGATTATTCTCATTTATCTCAAGATTTTTATTCCCGTTGACTCTATTCGCCAATATTCTTAGCCCGCCCCATTGTCAACCTTATCTACCCATTGTCAAGTATCTTCTGCCAATGGAATTTGTGTCTGTGTCGTCTGTGTCGCAGGTGTCGGTCGTGTCGTATCCCATGTATAAGATGATGAAAATAAGACGTGTACAGATCAAGTGACATTGACAATTGACATGCCATGCCCATGTCTCGTCTCGTCTCATCTCGTCTGATCTTGTCTTGTCTCATGATACTCAACGATGAGTAAAGATTGACAAGTAACAGGTTTGGTTGAGGACGGCTGATATTGGTGGTTCTGACTCTTGTGCTTTCTGTCTTTCTGTCTCTCTGTCTTTTTGGACGGGTTTGACGTTTTGACGTTTTCGACATTTTGACGTTTCGACTGACCGTTTCGGCCTTTGACGTTTCGACGTGCAAAGTTTCGGTACAAGGTCCAGGTGGCAATACGTACTCCGTAGAAAAGAGGCAATGCGGGGGTAGTCGAACGGGATTCTTCCCGGAAACGGCGCCCGGCCGAACACCGAGGACACGCCTTTTCCCGCTCCGCCCTGTATAAACGTTGGAGCGTTGGAGCGAGATTAATTCAGTTGAGCAGTCGATAATCGACAATTGACAACTGACAATTGAGCAGCTTAGATGCCGTGAGATTATGCAGTCACGGGATCCGAATCATGTCGATTGAACGAAGAATCTCTCAAGGCTGAGCGTCTCCACATTGTCGACAAGGGAAGCAACTAAGCTGGAGCTGACAAGACCGAAGACTGAAACGGAAGACTACAGGATCATAAATCGTCAAGACTGTGCTGTTTGAATTTTTTATTTGCTCTATCGACGGCTCGGTTCTGGAATTGGTTCCCATGCAGCTCAAAGACCAAGGGGCGCGGTTGGTTTTGGTCAGCTTGCACGGGTACAGAAGCAGGAGAAGAAGTTGGTCCTGATTCGTTCCCGGATGGAGGAGGGATAGGGATAGGAATTTCGAAGCGGAAGATGGCGTGTTCTTTTGGAATAACTGTCAGAATAATTATTAGCATTTGATATTGACAAAAACCTCCACCCTCCTACTCTGCAACCACCGCTCGCCGCCCAGCGTCCGTCCCCGGCCGACTTACCTTTAACTTCATCTTTAGGCGTGATAATCTGAAACGTAAACTTTGTATCCTGAACCACGATGCCCTTTAGTCCGACCCTTGTTCCGGACCGCGCTCGAACAACTTCAATCAGCGCGCCGTGGAAATCCGCACTCGTCAGCTTCGCAGCTGCCTGCGCGCTCACAGTTGTCTGCTTGCCAGGTCCCTCTCCGAGCATGAGAAGTTCTTGTGCGTAGCCCAACCACATCCTGTGCAGCGGTTCATATATGGAGTATTTCCGCAACGGCGCATCGAGCGCATAGACATTCAGCGTCCGTTTCTCCTTGGCAGAAAGCGGCTTGGGTTTTTGTCTTGTCATGCGGAAATGGTGTTTCCGATTGAGCCGTTCTCGACGCCGTCGCTCCCGCGCATCAGCCAATTCGGTCTCAGCTGGCCGTAAGAAGAGCGGTTTCTGCTTGACTTTCTCGGCGAAGATCCTGTCTGCGTCCTCGGCGGAAGGCAAGACGGAGCTTAGAAGCTGGTGGGCGATGTGGTCATGATCGGCAGATGGACGTGGTTGGTCCATGATTGTGTGCCCGTGTTTCGTAGATATGCGTAGTTCAAGAGGAGGCAAGCTTCGTGCTGAAGGGTAGCATCTGGCTCAATAAGTTTTGCAAATACTTAGGAAGGGCGACGGATATTTTGGTCGTTCTGGAGGACAACTGCGGATTATTATTGCTAAGTTACTAGACTGTAGATGGTTGATGAGATTAGATGTGATTAGATTCATCTGACAAGCGAAAATTTATCGACGAGCCGATTAGATCGTTCAGTGCCATCGAGCCAACGAGCCTCGGGGATGATCCATGACACTCTAGACGCGTCGTCAAACTCTCGGCCTTTGATTAAGTCTTTGGTTTTCCTGGATTTTGCATTACATTCGGAGTTTATCGGACTGCAGGGCCTCGGTTGTCTTTTCTTGGGAACTGTCGATAGAAGTTTACAAGGGCCTGTCTGCTGTGTCCAGCCCCGGATTGTCGCCCCCGTCTCATTCGCTCCAACTCCTCCGCATTGTCTACGCTACATTCACATCACAGCAACTGCGGGCGCGCGGCACGGTCAACGATGTTCAGAACCTGAACCCACAATACGATTCCGAAGCCATCTTCGTCGCACTCCAGGTCTGAAAAGGCGCTTTCTAATACCTGGGACGGGAATTATTTATTTCAGGACTGATACGGGTCGCAAGATCTTATCGCGAGATCGGCGGGTGACGCATCAGGTCGTTGATTAGGTCCGGTGGGAACACTGGCCACTGCCTCCCCTCTTTACCATCCGTGGACTGTCTAAATCGACTGTCGTCATTGCATCATCCAAGTCGAATATTCAACGTCTTGGTGTAGTGGCTGTCCCAGGCTTATATCGGAACTCTACGTGATGTCAGACGCTTTATTGAGCACAGAGAGTCTTGAGGAGCAGTTGATTCTGAACAGGGTTCTTCTAAGGTCTCTTATAGAAGACCCTGAGCATAACATTGCACAGGAAGACGAGTTGCGACGCACTATCAAGAGCCAGGAGACTGACCTAGCTCATAGAAGGCGGGAAAGAGAAATGGGCGATCGAAATGTAGCGACACCTTCCGCATATTCTGACCATGATACTCACGGCGGAAATCGAGCTCCCCCTCCACATACCTACCCCAAAGCGCGAGCGGTAGACTTTTCAACGCTTCCTCCAAGATCCATCAGTTCTCCTTCGCTCGCCAGTTCGACTTCGAATGAACAAAGCAATGCCTCTTTTTCCTCCGGTTCAAGCCCTCCACAATTATCGATGACGCGCTCCTCCCCGATGTTTCAACACTCGCTTCCAAGCCGAAAGCGGGAGCGAGGAAGCCTTGAATTACATTCTCCATCCCATGCGCGGCACAGCAAATCCAGGCGCACTTCACCTGGCAGAGCAGGATCACCTGATTCCTTCGGAATGCGAGATGACGTAGAACAAGAACTACTTCGCCGTCAAGGGGAACTCGAGATCCGGGCACTAAAGAGATATGAACAAGAAAAGCGTGACGCCGCAGTTGCAAAACGCTTACAAGATGAAATGACGAGATCGGATCGAGCCGTTTCCATGGCGTCGCGACCCTCTTTTCAAACTTCACTGGTAACTTCGCCAAGACGTCAACCACCCAAACCCAGACCCTACCCTACGATAAAAGAAAGCCGACAGCAAAGTCCGGTAGTAAAGCAGGACCCAGCTACAGCAGATTCCAGACTTCCTCTCATGGGCAACTTTTCGGGAATATCTGGGGTTAGCAGTGACGATGATGATGAGTTACTGGAGATCTCAGCAAATGAATTTCAGCACAACACCCGGTCGCCGCCCTTACATCCGACATCCGCCTCGGGCTCAGCGTTGAGTCGTACGCGGAGATATGGCAACCTAAACCCGTCTGCGGACTTTATTGATATTGATGATCTCGAAGACGCCATGTCGCCATTGCCCTCTTTGCCTTCCACTCGTTTGCCATCACAAAACTCCTCTGCTTCATTCGATATCCAACCTGGAAGGAGAGACCATTACAACAAACCTGATGAAAGATCACGGTTCTCGTCGGCTGTGGATGCTGTCCGGCAAGGATCGGCTACTATAGGTTCTCATTTAAGCAACCTTGGGAGTGCCGTAGGGAGATGGATGAATGTGCCAGAGGGATACCAACCAGCGTCACCCTATGGAAATTTGTATGGCTACCCGTACTCGAACGAATACGGCGGTGCATATGGATACGGATATCCATCTCCGTTTGGTATGCCATACGGGGCTGACCGTTCAATGCCTGGTGGCTCGAACTCGTCGTATTTCAATCACCTTTCACATATGGTACAAAGCGGAAAGTATGGGCCGAACCTCTCTGGCGATGCTTTTCAAGCTTTAGCAGATCGCTACGATTACATTGTCAACGACCCAACTAAGACCCGAGAGGAGATAAAGGCGCTTCTGGATAATATCCGGCCAGATGAGGAGCTACCTCCTGAAAACCGCGAAGGAACACCTGATGGCCTAAAATATCCGTTGATGGAACATCAAAAACTTGGCTTGTCATGGTTGAAGAAAATGGAAGAAGGGTCCAACAAGGGGGGAATATTGGCTGATGATATGGGCTTGGGCAAAACAATACAAGCTCTGGCATTGATGCTGTTTCGGCCTTCCAGCGACACTCGACAGAAAACAACTCTTATAGTTGCTCCTGTCGCACTTCTAAGGCAGTGGGAACGGGAAATTCAGACCAAGGTTAACACCAACCATCGTCTCACAACATATCTTCTCCACGGAGTAAACAAAAAGAATGTCACTTGGAATCGAATCAGAGAGCATGACGTTGTTCTAACAACCTACGGCACTCTCGCATCAGAATACAACCAGAAGGAGAGTGCCAAACGGGCTAGGAGGGCCAATCCTGCGCTCAGAGGTGTACGCACGGAGAAATTACTGCTATTGGGAGATGAGTGTAGGTTTCACCGGTAAGTAATTTCGGATTCTCTTCTCGCTTTGAGTTTTGCGATATTCGAGAGACTGAATCCATACAGGGTAATTCTTGATGAGGCACAATGTATCAAAAATAAAGACACCAAGGCCGCTAGAGCAGCCTGTTGTCTACAAGCTTCGACACGTTTTTGCATGACAGGCACGCCCATGATGAACAATGTTGAGGAGTTATATTCTCTGATCTGTTTCCTTCGAATTAAACCGTACAATGAATTAGAAAGATTCAACAAGGTATGTCCAATCGCAAACTTTTCCTTTAAGCGTTCCACTCACAGCTTTTAGGATTTCAAGCGACCCTTAAAGGGTACAAGCGAAGCCGGCAAGGAACAGGCAATGAGGAAGCTGCAAGCCTTGCTCAAGGCAATACTACTTCGTAGAAATAAGAAGTCGAAAATTGATGGTCGTCCGATTCTCCAACTGCCGGAACGAACGACGGAAGTTGTGCACGCCGTGTTCGATAACGATGAGAGCGAGTTTTATAGAGCTCTTGAAACGAAAACGGTTCTGCAATTCAACAAATATCTGAAGGCCGGTACGGTTGGTCGGAACTATTCGAATATCCTCGTCTTGCTCCTTCGACTTCGGCAAGCTTGCTGCCATCCACACCTTATAAAGGATTTCGGCGTTGCCGCTAATGCCGAGCTCTCGACAAATGATATGCTCGCTCTGGCCAAGGAGCTGGCTCCCGATGTTGTGGCCAGGATCAAAGAGATTGCCGCTTTTGAATGCCCTGTCTGCTATGATGCGGTGGAAAATCCAGCCATATTCCTCCCTTGTGGACATGATACTTGTTCCGAGTGTTTTACGAGAATCTCAGATCCATCGCAAGCACTCACACTAGGCAATGAAGACCCTGTCGTCAAATGTCCTTCTTGTCGGCAAGTTATCTCACCCAAGAGGGTTATCGACTATGTCTCCTTCAAGAAGGTGCACATGCCCACGGAGGCTGAGAACGAGGAGAATGAGGAAGAAGAAGAAGAAGAAGAAGAAGAAGAAGACGTCGATAGTGCTACCGAGAGTGATGAAGATGACGGAGACGAAGACGAAAATGATGATGACTCAGAGACCAGCAGCCTGGGTGGGTTCGTCGTAGACGATGAACGTACGGATGACCAGGATGAAGAAAAATATGCCCAAGGCGACAATCCGTTCAGCAAGGCGAAGAATGGCGGAACTCAGAAAAAGACGAGAAGCAAAGGAAAAGGAAAGGGCAAAGCCAAGGAGTCCAAAGCGCCCCGCAAGACTCTGGGGCAGTTGAAGAAAGAAGCTTTGCGCAGTGTCAAGGCGAAGAGAAGGTACATGCGCCGCCTGGCGCGAGACTGGGTTTCCAGCGCAAAGATTGACAAAGCATGCGAACTTCTACAGCAAATTAGCGATCGCAAAGATGGGCAAAAGACTATCGTTTTCAGCCAGTTTACCTCTCTTCTTGATCTTCTCGAAGTACCTGTCGACCGAAACGGCTGGGGCTACAGGCGCTACGACGGGAGCATGACGGCCAAGCATCGACATCAAGCAGTGATCGATTTTACGGATAATCCAGATTGCACGATCATGCTTGTATCGCTAAAGGCTGGCAACGCAGGACTCAATCTCGTTGCTGCATCGCAAGTCATTATCCTGGATCCATTCTGGAATCCATATATTGAAGAACAGGCTATTGATCGCGCTCATCGAATCGGGCAAATGCGGCCAGTCCAGGTTCACCGCATTCTTGTCAAAGACACAGTGGAAGATCGCATTATCGATCTCCAAGAGAAGAAGCGGGAGTTGATTGAAGGCGCCCTTGACGAGAAGGCTAGCCAGAATATAAGTAGACTCGGAACCCGCGAGTTGGCATTCCTTTTTGTAAGTTGATTTGAAAGCCCCTCTTCGAATGACCGGGAATTCTAATTTTTTTTTGCAGGGTGTTTCTAACCACTGAGTGGTTTCATAAGGAACGCCGAATCCTTAATGTCTCGGTCGAAACGCTTTCATGATAAATGCTCTTCTGTTTTCCCGTTTTCATTTCCGCATCGATACCCATGCAATAACATTACTAGACCTTTGGTAGTCCTCGTGCACTTGTTACCTCGCAGAAAAATTATTTTAGAGTTGGAGATACAGAGTTATGGGCAACATTCGCCGTCACTTGCATTGTGTAGAGCATGAGACTGATTTCACCGAACTTCCATTTCTTTTCGCAGAGTCAAGGATATCCAAGTGATTTTCGGCTGGGAATACGTTTTACGTTGCATCATATACTTCTAAAGATGTAGTATTATGAAGATTTTGCTCAATTTGAATAATGAATGAAGCTCAGATTTGAAATAAGCTAGAGTGATTAATGCCCAAAACATCGTGAAGTGGGTCGAGCTTCGATGACGTAGATGTAAAGAATCTTTGATGATTTTGAACAGAGGCTGAGATAACCGACAAACGCCAGAGTAACTTATGATAGTTTTAGATTAGGTTTCATAATGCAAAATAATTTGTTTAGTTCAATGAATTATAGGCTTAGAAAATTTCAGATCATGCGTCTGCATAAATTGTCCAGCAAAATTCATTCTTTGTTTGACTCGGCGAAAGAAAGTGGCCCTGGTGGATGGCCTTTAATCACGTGACCAAACTTTCGCTTTGACCACACCACAACACGGCAAATTCGCTGTTCAACCTACCTTTTGCCCCACTGTTCTCTACATCTCATCATCACTTCCCCTAGCAACCATCGCAACTGACCAGCGCTTCGGCAAGTCTACTGCTTGGGACGCTTGAAAAAGGTGATTCAGTTTTGCTTTTTCAAATTCTCTGTTGTGGAAGCTTTTTCTGGGATTGGGAAAAAAAGTTTCCAGTTAGTTTGTTTTGCTGGACGTGCTAACTTTTGATAACAGTTTTTTTTACAAAGTCCACGACCGTTGCGTCTCCGTACAAGTTTTTTACTTTCCGCGTTTTCTCCTATCATCCTTTCAAAATGGCTGCGGCTGCGCCTCAGGTTCCTACCTTCAAGCTCGTCCTCGTCGGTGACGGTGGTACCGGAAAGGTCGGTATTCGCGATTAAACATTCTTTTCTACGGCCCGTTTCTCGTTCCAACCCCTGGCAGAGCCTACAATATCCTCTGAAGCTGGATCACTCTTGCTCCGTCATTTTCCCACATCGACGAAGGCTCTTTTCCTTTGTTCAAAGAAAAGTGATGGATCGTCTTCGCTTTTCCGATTCGCTTTCCTCTGGACGTTTACCACCATCCGCGCTCCCGTTCTGTCTTTTCGCATCGTCTACCGATTTTTAAGCAAAAAAGAGAAAGGAATCGAAGCTGACTTTCGCCCCTTGTACAGACCACTTTCGTCAAGCGTCACTTGACTGGTGAGTTCGAGAAGAAGTATATTGCTACTCTCGGTGTCGAGGTCCACCCTCTTGGCTTCACCACGGTACGTACCTTTACTCTGGATCCGTTTCTAGGCTTTCAGAACAATCGCTGACGTTTCTTGGGGTGATTTAGAACTTGGGCGAGCTTAAGTTCGATGTCTGGGACACTGCGGGACAGGAGAAGTTCGGTGGTCTCCGTGACGGCTACTACATCAACGGCCAGTGCGGTGTTATCATGTTCGATGTCACCTCCCGTATCACCTACAAGAACGTCCCCAACTGGCACCGTAAGTGGCAGCTGCAAAGAATTTTTAAGACGCAGGAAATTTCTGACGTTTTCTTTTAATAGGCGACCTCGTCCGTGTCTGCGAGAACATCCCCATCGTTCTCTGCGGTAACAAGGTTGATGTTAAGGAGCGTAAGGTGAAGGCCAAGACCATCACCTTCCACCGGAAGAAGAACCTTCAGTACTACGACATCTCCGCCAAGTCCAACTACAACTTCGAGAAGCCCTTCCTGTGGCTTGCTCGCAAGCTCGTCGGTAACCAGTCCTTGGTACGTTTTGTCTCTTTTATAATTTAAACTCTTGGTATTTTTTACAAATTGATTGTTTACTAACTGTTTTGTAGGAGTTTGTCGCTGCGCCCGCTCTTGCTCCCCCTGAGGTCAACGTCGACCAGCAGCTGCTCGCTCAGTACCAGAACGAGATGAACGAGGCTGCTGAGATGCCCCTGCCCGATGAGGATGATGCGGACTTGTAGATGTGTGCGACATCTCTCTTCTCTGTTGGTGGAGCGATTGGGGGAGCCATATGGTTTAGCTATTCGCACCGCTGGACATGCGGGAAATACTCTGTTCCTCTCGGTTGCTTAGAGCGCATTTCTTAGTAGTTCTTTTACGATCATCTTATATGCTCAGCACTTGGCGAAAGGGCTCATCATGACAGCTCAAGGTGGGCCTACTGCTGGATGGGGGGGTGGATTGCGACGAACTGGAATGAAGATAAAAAGAGATAAATTTATCACGAGCTTTCTATTTAGAATTTTCCCCGCATGAATGTATCTACTCTGCGTGAAAGTCGAGTTTTATCCCGGATAAAGATTTCTCATGTCGTAGTTCAACCGAGCCTAATGAAGGAAAGCACATTTACTGATTAATTGCGAACCACAAACTGATAGACCGGTGGACGAGGTAAAGTCGAGATTGATGCGCTATATAAAAAGTGACAACAGTAGATGCTTCTCGCCCGGAAAATAAACGACCAAGTATGATGGAGGAAAGAGGACCGAGATAAGGAGCTAATATTGATCCTCTCCTTCTTTCCGCGCCTGTTTTCCATCAGTTTCCGAATGTTTGTCGGGCTGATCGCTCAAAAGACGATTAAAGGGTGGGGAATATGCAAACCATCACTTACCCGTAAAGCATTCGGACCCCCCAATTCTACCTCCAAACCATTTGGAAATGTTCTTGGCGTGGCGGGCTTGTCTGGATAATACTTGTAGACCACACCACAGAGGCCAACAGTAGCTGCGATAAAGCATCCCACCAAAAATAGCGAGCGACCGGGAGTGAAATGGGTATATTCCTCGAGCGAGAATATGCCTAGAATATCATTGTCTTCATGCACCGGTTCACCATAGTTGCGGCGTTCTTGCTTGTCCCACCAGTCGCCGTACGGGTCTCGCATTTGACGTTTCTCAGCAGGAGGGTTTATATAGCCGCCATTCTGTGAGGAGGTTATTTATTAGAGACGAAATCACCAATTATTGCAAAGCAGAATTCAAAAGTAAGGCCCAAAAATATTCACCATTCCAGGATCCTCGACATCTGCCTGGGAAAGGCATCGAATCTGGGGAAGGCTTCTTTGTGGGGCGGATATCGCTGGTCGGACGGCCCAGGCGAGAGGCCTCGCTCCCAATATCCGTCGAGAGAGCATCTAAAGTCGTTAGCTAGGTTAGAAGCTTCCCCAATGACAGAGGACAATTATCATCGCAGGCCAGCGATTAGCATACACTGGGAGTCCTCGAGAAAAAAAATCACCAGCCAAGTTTTTCTTCTTCCTCTGTATGTTTGGTCTTCAATTATTCACACTTGAAACATGGAGCAGTGATGTGACGATGTTGGTCCACGCCAGAATTGTCGTGGAGTAAGTAGCGTCTACGACGAGCCTAATGAGGCAAGGGACGGCGGTACGTGAGGGGGAAGAAAGACGGGGAAAGTGAAAGCTAATGGATTCTGCTATAAGGAGGTATAAATGGGGTACCTCTGCTTGTTTACTGTGTTTCGAGGTACTTTTCGGTTACCTTCTTATGAGCTCGTTGGAACGATTTGGGCAGGAGCGAAAGAGGGAGTCGAGCCGAGAAGTTGTGCAATGATTTGTGAACGAATTGCTCGCAAGGCTCTTATTCCCTCGGTCCCCAAATTTTGCTGGCCAAGGTGAAAGTGGCCTATACCTGTTCATCACACGTCTTTGATGCTTTTTTCATCGCCCCACGCTCACCGGAGCCGATAACTCTGCCAAACTTCGCCACAGGGATCCTCTCACTCGTAGCTTTCATTTGACACCGGGGTTGACCCAGCTTCTTTCGTTTTGACGCGGAAAGTTGGGGCCAGCCGTGTCGTAAGGGATCGTGTCTCGTCAGCTTGGACATGCAAAGCCGCAGCCCTTCGGATCCTGCAGATCACGAAAACCACACAAATGGCACGCACGGTACGTCACGCTTTCCTCGAACAATGCTTTTCAGATCTCTAGACACGCTTGACATTAACCTTGGAATCAATTTTAGACTCCATTTCTGAAGTAAAGACTCCAAAAGTCGAGGAAAATTCCACCGAGGGCACCGCCACCCCGGACCACGATGGCGCACCTCCGCTCAAAAAGCGGAAGCTCGCTGATCCGCTCTTTCGAGAACGTTCGTCATCTCGACCAACGTCTCCTCCCTGGAAAAAGGTCGCCGTCGATGGTCCGACGTCCTTCGTGGAAGGTGGCCGACGGAAATCGTCGCGTGTGAACGCGGTGCCCCTGGAATTACAGCCGCAGAGCGAGAAGCGACAGACGCGGGCGGCAGCACACCAATCTTCCGCCACCAAGGTCAATGGAGCTCGGGGCGCTGCTGCTTCGACTCCTGCGACATCGAAACCTGCCGTCTCTCATGCGTCAGCTCAATCCAGCGGTCGGCGGTCACGGCCCGCCGCCGCGACTAAACCTACTCAACCTCCACCGAAGCCTGCCTCCAAAACGCCCGGCTCCCAGACCACGTCAACGAGGACAAGCGCGAGGAGGGCATCGCCACATAATCTTCGACAGCATCATCACAATCAAGCTCCCGACACCCCCGTTCCGGCGCCCCGTTCCGGCCCACCGACTCGCCGATCCGCTCGCACTTCTGGTAGGGTCACGGTGAAGGACGAAAACGTCGTGGAAACCAACGGCTGGCATGACGGAGAAGACGATACAATAGGAGTTGGAAAGCTGTTTAAGCCACAAAAACTCAAGTTTCGAGTCCGCGCTCCTACTGTTCCGGTCTTGCATCCGGACCATGCGCTACGACCTCGACAATTTTCATCTTTTCAAGAATGGCTAGAAGCCGATGATGCTACGGGCGGGGAGGATGGGGCTCTCATCACAGCCGAAGATGCTTTGAAGGAGGCAAGGATAAGACAGCGTGTCCTTGATGCTATCGCTCCTGGAGGGATATTGAGCGAAGAGAGATGCTCAATTTACATTCCGGATGCCCAGGAAGAACCGGCCCGCCAATATGCCCATCAAGACCACCTCGTCTCTCAGGCACTCCATTTCCAAAGGCTACTGTTTCAAGAACAAAGGCATCATCGAAATATGGCAAAGAAGCTTGCATATGCGGCCGCAGCGGAATGGAAGAGGAGGCAGCCAAAGACAAAAGAAGAACTTGTCCAGGAGCAGCTCGAGGCTACAATACTGGTATATAGGCAGGTTCGAAAAGCCCTGCAACAGAAATGGGAAATGGTTACGGCTGAGGTCAATCGGAGGAGGCTAGAGCGGTGGGAGGAAGAACAGCAGGCACTCGGCAAGCAGGCGCTGAACCAGATGTTAGAGCAATCTACAGCCCTTTTGGACAAGCGGAGAATGCGAAGGTCCTCCGAGGTCTCAAGCGACGTGCAGTCCTCTCACGATGACTCCGAAGCCTCAGACAGGAGCGAGAATGAGGAGGACAACTCCGCCGAGAGCAATATGTCATCCAGCGGCTCTGAAAGCGGCGAGGATGAAGTTAAAGAGGTCGACAATGACGAAGGCCTAACGATCGAGGAACTACGACGAAAATACTCCGCCATCGCCGCAGACACTCCAGGCTCCGTCGATGTACCTGAAGAGCCTTCTCATGAGCAAAGTGAACTTTCCACATTGTATGCTGCCAAAGATGCACCTGAAGATGATGAGCAGGCTAGCGAGAGAGGCAATGCGCAGGACACGGATGCCGAAATGGTCGATGCCGATATGGCCGATGTTGAGCTCGAAGAAGTTGATGAAGCGTTAATGGATGATAGTGACGAGTCAACAGACATGGACGATGATATGGGGGATAGCGACGAGGAAGAAGAAGAAAACGATGACGAGCAAGATGCAGGGGATGCCAGTGAAGAGAGCGATGAGGAAGATGTTGACCGTGGGCTTTTGGGATTCTTCTCCAAAAAGGAAATTGAACAGGCACGCGATGAACCCAAACCGCCAGAGGCTGTTCCCGCAGAGAACAATGCTCAGTGGTCTGATGAGGAGATGGATGAGATATCGCTGATTCCAGACCATCCATTGGTGCCAGCGACGCACGCTCCGGAGACTGTTGAAATACAAGAAGGCGCTGGTCTTGAGGAGAAGCCCACCCCAGCAGACGACGTAGAGCAGAATCTGGAGCTTTCGGAAGTTAGCCGTCATCCAAGCAGTCGCGCCTCGCCTGAGACCAATCCTACGACAAAACCTTCTGATGGTGAATCTGCTTCGTCTGTGGAGCCTCAGGTTGATCAGCAGCCGCAAGCGTCGGAAGAACCATCGGAGAAGCCATCTGAGACAACACACGGACTACGGACGCCATTACCCTTCCTTCTGCGAGGAACATTGAGAGAATACCAGCACTATGGGCTGGACTGGCTCGCTGGTCTCTACTCGAATCATACCAATGGCATCTTGGCAGATGAAATGGGCCTCGGGAAGACAATTCAAACAATTGCCCTTCTGGCGCATTTAGCTTGTGAACATGAAGTTTGGGGCCCGCACTTAATCGTGGTACCGACCAGTGTTATGCTTAATTGGGAGATGGAGTTCAAGAAGTGGTGTCCTGGCTTCAAGATTCTGACCTACTATGGATCCCAAGAAGAGCGAAAGCAAAAGCGGAAGGGCTGGCTCGACGACGATCGTTGGCACGTGTGTATCACATCCTACCAGCTTGTCCTGCAGGATCAGCAAACTTTCAAGAGACGGAATTGGCACTATATGATTCTCGACGAAGCGCACAACATCAAAAATTTTCGCTCGCAAAGGTGGCAAACCCTCCTAACCTTTAAGACCCGCGCTCGCCTACTTTTGACCGGCACGCCCCTTCAAAACAATTTGACGGAGTTGTGGTCGCTTCTCTTCTTCTTGATGCCATCGGACAGTAGGGAGTCTGGAATGGGCGGCTTCGCTGATTTAAAGGAATTCTCGGATTGGTTCCGAAGACCCGTCGAGCAAATCCTTGAGCACGGTCGAGAAACAATGGACGATGAAGCAAAGGGTATAGTAACTAAACTGCACAAGGTCCTTCGTCCCTACCTTTTGCGCCGATTAAAGGCAGATGTCGAGAAGCAAATGCCGGCCAAGTATGAACATGTTGTTTACTGTCGTCTGTCGAAGAGACAACGTTTCCTATACGACGGCTTCATGTCACTGGCACAAACCCGTGAGACCCTCTCGTCAGGGAACTATTTGTCGATCATCAACTGTCTCATGCAACTTCGGAAAGTCTGCAATCACCCTGATTTGTTTGAGACTCGGCAGATTGTCACTTCTTTTGCAATGCCAAAATCCGTGGTAGCTGATTTTGAGATTAAAGATCTGTTTGTGCGGCGACGCCTTCTACGGGAGGATCTCTCGAACAAGGCTAATCTCGATTTCCTGAATTTCTCATTTACGGGAGATGCTGCCGGTTCTTTACATGGCATGACTGAAAGTTCCCGGCTCACTGCCATTCCTGCGCTTCGAGAACGGCTTAGGCGACAGCACGGTCGGATTGACTGGCGAAAGAGATTGGATGGATCATCCATGGAATCGACCTTGGCGTATATGGAGAACGCCGCGAGATATTCGAGGCTCGAGGAGCTTCGTCACTGCGTCTATATCAATTCTCTCCGCACCCAAAAGCGACCTGTGTATGGAGAGGGACTTCTTGGACGTCTCACTCTTGACTTGCAGGAGCGCCCTCTTTTGCCGAGACCTAAGAAGCAAGCAGAGCTCTCCAATTGGGCTCTGAATTCATCCTCTGTTCTTCGAGACATGGTCAAGACAATCTATGAACGTTCTCAAAGCCTAGAATCGACCATTCAGGCTTTCGGATGCGTTACTCCAGCCGTTGTCGCCACTGACCTTGTCCCACTTGCGCTGCAGTCGCAGGGCATGGAATTGGTTCAAAGATCGTCCAGAGTCTACAAGTCTGACCCTTTTCATGAAGCGAGAATCCGCTTGTCCATTGCTTTCCCCGACAAACGATTGCTGCAGTATGACTGTGGCAAACTTCAGCGCCTCGATCGTCTTCTCCGCGAGCTCCAGGCCAATGGTCACCGGGCACTCATTTTCACGCAAATGACAAAGGTCCTTGACATTCTAGAGCAATTTTTGAACATCCATGGCCATCGCTATCTCCGACTTGATGGTGCAACAAAGATTGAACAACGGCAAATCCTCACTGACCGTTTCAACAATGATAACCGCATCCTCGCCTTTATCCTTTCGACTCGCTCTGGAGGTCTTGGCATTAATCTTACCGGTGCTGACACGGTCATCTTTTACGATCTCGACTGGAATCCAGCAATGGATAAGCAATGCCAAGATCGTTGTCACCGTATCGGACAGACTCGAGACGTCCATATCTATCGCTTCGTTTCCGAGTATACGATTGAGTCTAATATTCTCCGCAAGTCCAACCAGAAGCGCATGTTGGACGATGTCGTTATTCAAGAAGGAGAGTTTACGACTGATTATTTCAATAAGCTCAGTATCAGGGATATGCTCGGTGATGAAGCTCCTCCTGTGGACGAGGACTCGGCAGCAAATGCCGCCATGGATCGCGTACTTGGCGGTATGGAGTCAGAGAAGGCTCTTCAGCAGGTGGAAGACCGCGAGGATCGCGATGCCGCCAGACTTGCTGAGAAGGAAATGGTTCATACAGATGACGCCGATTTCGAAGAAAAGGCTGGCCACGAGAGCAGCTCTGTCGGGACGCCAAAAACGCGTGGCCCGTCCACTCCGAGGGAACTCATGCCACCTCCCTCGGCTTTCCCAAATGCTTCCAAGACCGTTCAGTTTGGTACTGACACTGTGGACACAACAACTTCTCTCGAAGCTGCCGGATCAGGTCTTGCCGCGCCGGATGACGCAATGGATGCAGAGATGGCTGATGCAGATGAGGAAGAGGAGCCTGGCCACATTGATGAGTACATGCTCCGTTATGTCGAGTGGGAGCTCAAAGACGTCCCAGTCGCCATTCCTCTGGATCCGAAGAAGAAGAAAGCCAAGAAGGGGCAAGCTCATCATATTCCGCGGCGCAGGTAGTGGATGCACGCCCGTGTCGATTGCTTTTGCCTTTCGGGCTCCTCCTGTTTCATCCTTCACGGGCTGATATCACTGTGTTCAGTCCTACGTCTTGGGATGTATCATAATTGGTGGAACTTTCTTGATCTTGTATTATTACTTGGTTCTTGCTCCTCGCTGACAATTTCCGTTCCACCCGTTTTACTCTGTCTCTAATCGGCTTGAGATCAAGGACGAGAACGACTTTTGCTTTTTTTTTTAATGTTTGCTGTAACTGACTTGTTTCGGAACCCCTGGCAAATTCCCCTCTACTCATGAAAAACCGGCGTTGTATGATTCTTTGATATGGGCTGGATATCACCGCCCATGGATTTGCATTGATTGGCGTCTTTGGCTATTTTTCTCATAGCATCTTCTCCCTTTATCTTTGATATGCCTTTTTTACCTTATCTGTCAAGCGAAGGTCGTGTAGCTTAGTATAGCGCCTAGTCATTAATTGTACAGTACGATAATGGCAAATAGTGTTGATGATACCCATCTCTAGTCTAGATTAAGGAGGTCAAACCTGACTAAGCAATCGAGGCGGTGAGGGCATGCATGGTATATTTATCACAGCATAGATGTACTTTGGGAATAAGCATTGAAATGGTAGAAAGTATAATACAAAAGCTGGATATGTTTTGCTATTGTTGTGACTCGGATATTTTAAGGTTTATGCGGGCATTTATGGGATTGTGGTTGAGTTGTAACGTGCATTGTCAGGTCAAAATATTTGGTGTTGCGACCAGCAACCATGACAGGTTTCCCTTTAATACCACGCTAAAACCACATTCGTGGCTCTGATTGGTTGAGCATTTGAGATGGTAATTTCCTTGTTCGGTTAACTCCAAACCTGACTTGGCATCTTGATTGTCCTCAGGGAGAGAGAGAGAGAGAGAGAGGGAGACAAGAAGGCATCAGGCTTTGTCTCCCATTGTCGCATGGTGGTGAAGGACATTATCACTACTCACGCGAAACATATCTTGTCAAGGGATAACAGCAGGCTGGTATCGATCCTTTTTAAAGCACAATCAGTTGAAGTCCCCCCTCGTTGTGTGCTGAAAGGCTTCCTCGCGTGTTCTGATCGATCCACCTCCCCTGACGAGTGTGAGACGCTCGAGTCGAACAAGTGCCTCACTCCTTAGCTCCTCCGTTAATCATTTTACTCCCAGACGTTTGACCCAACCCACTCTGAAGGACGCGACTCTGCTGCGCAATCCTTCTTCCATTCGTTTTGACTCCTGCAATTCTGCATCATTCTTTCGATTTTTTTTTTTTTCTTTTCTTTTCTTTTTCTCCTAACCTCTACGCTCGTTTTCCAATCCGAATCAGATCAAGCTGTGGCTAGCCATTCACGATACCACTCGAATAACGTCGCTCCTGAACTGAATCCCACTTTGACAAGTCCATTCGATCATTGAACGGTTATTTCTTAAAGTTGCCGAGCAATTTTTATCCCTTATCTACGATCAGAAACAAAAAAGGATCACCATGTCCTTTACAGGTGCATTTCCACCTCATCTGGAGGCAGCGCGAAACCGCTTGCCTACTCTATTCGAAGTGCTGAGTCGGCGCACACTTGCTCCCGTGGACCTCTTCTCGTTTTACATTTACATGAGAGATCAGCAGCGATCGGTCGATTACCTTGACTTTTGGTTGGTCTCCCTCTCCCTCTGCCCCCATGACCAAAGGTCGGAGGCATTGATTGCAGGAACCAAAGCTAATATTATTTGTAGGCTTGATGTCTCCCAACACATGTCTCTTTGCCGTCACTATGTTCGAGAGCTTCGAAGATCCGTCCTGATTGAAACACCCGATCCCGAAAAGACTGGAAGCAAGCGATCGTCTGCAATTCTCGAGAGCTTCGGCGACATGGGCGAGGCTGGTCCATCCATGCATGCTGGGGGTGATGAGAAGAACCAGGATCAGCGCCTTTCTGCGTTTTTGAGATCTGAGACTGGCACTGGCCATTCTCCTCAGTCGAGTGTCGGTTCGCATCCTCAAGAGTCCAAGTCCTCGGAGCGCCCCCAACTTTCGAGCTTTATGAGCACACCGGAACACCTTACCGACTCCAACTCGCCCTCTCATACTGTTGCACGTGCCGATATCCGTGCCTCTGCTGAAAAGATTCTGTACACCTATCTGCTTCCTGGCGCCGAGAGGGAGATTGTCTTGCCGCAGGGCATCGTCACCGACGTTACCAACAATATCGAAGAATATGGACGAGACGATCCCGAAGTCTTTGACGCCGCCAAGGACTATACGTTCCAGGCCATGGAGAGAGATGCGTTCCCTGGCTTCCTTCGCTCCAAAGCTCTCGGAAACCTTGTCCCGCCGAGCTTGATGCTCCGCTTAATCTTTGGGCTCTTGAGCTTGTTTGGTGCCTTCTGGACTGCCTTTGCGCTCATCTTCCTCAACTACTCCCGCCACACACGTTGCTGGGTGAGATTTCATGTTTGAATTGATTAGTTGTTTTTCTATGCTGACTCGCATCTCATGCAGCTCATTCTCCCGTTCACCGTTGGCGTCTATGCCCTGGCTTCTCAACAATACGCGCTGGATCCAATAATGGCTCTGGCTGGTTACAGCGAGTACACATTCATGTCCTTTGCCCGCATCCGTGAGCCCTTTGTCCGCCAGCTCCTGAATAAGCGGGCGCTCATGGTTCTCGGCGTGACCATTCTCATCGTCACCGCCCTTGTCATCCTATTCGTCTTTGTCCCTGGCAAACGACTCTAATTTTTCTTTCCATGCTGTTTTTATATCTCTTCATTTCTCTTCATTTCCCTTCTCTCCTTTTTTTTTACTTTTCTTTTTTTCTTCTCTATTTTCTTCTCTTCTAAAACTCATCTCGCGTTCCATTTCTTCGATATCCACGTGGGATCTGATCAATCACATCGAGTTAGGCGTATCTGGTGTGCTAGGGAGCGTTGAATATATTTTTATTTACTGCCATTACTCTCATGCCGCATCTGCTTTCACTTGATACTCGATTTGCCATGTTTTACTATGAGTTTGCTGAGCAGTTGTCGCCCGATCGCAACATTACTGTTACTGTCGTGTACTGTAGAACCGTTCACTTTTCCAGCGGAAGCAAAGCCAGAAGCCAAAACTGTCAGCGTCAGCGTCTGCTATTCAATCCTTTTCTATGAGCCATGTTTGTTCTCCCACAATCTTTTCTCACTACCTTTCTATTCTTTCTTTCTTTCTCTTTTTTTTTAAAAGAAATTCTTCCCGTTTAAGCACCTTGATCGGGTTCTTTCAATAGCGCCTTTTTTTTTCTTTTTCTCCATTGAAGCCTTTTATTTCGTGCCTTGGATCTTGTAGATCTTGTAGATCTTACAGGTCTCATAGTATCTTAGTGTCTTCGTATCTTCGTGTCTCATTGTAGCATAGACTGATCAATTCTTGATACGTTTCATTACTACCATTAAGATGCTTTTCATTACCATTACACAGTACCGCAAGATTGTGCGTGCTATTTAGTCCTGAAATAGTCCTGAAATCGTTGCCATTCCACAATTCAGGTGTGTTTTGTTGACTACAGAGCGGACAGCAGACTAAAGACTGTGGACAGCAGAGGGTAAACGGGAAATGGGAAACGGGAAACAGGAAACAGGAAACAGGAAACGGGAAACGGTAGACGGCAGACGGTAGGCAGTAGGTGGTAAACGGTAAATGGTAAATGGTAAATGGTAAATGGTAAATGGTAAA